GGACAGCTGAGAGGACAGTAAAGAGTATCAGAAATATTCTATTTTCTTAAATATTTCTGTACTCTTAAATATTTCTATACTCTTAAATATTTTTATATTCTTAAATATTTCTATATTCTCAAATATTTCTATGTTCTTAAATATTTCTGTACGCTTAAATATTTCTATATTCTTAAATATTTCTATACTTTTAAATATTTCTATATTCTTAAATATTTCTATGTTCTTAAATCTTTAAGAAGTGCTGGGGTGTTTCTGTGTCCATCTGGGGTTTGTTTTTTTTTTTGGAGGGGGTGAAGCAGTCGCATCTTGGAGCTCAGGGATGGACCAGATCATTTCCTAAGGATAACAAATCCTGGGAAATCTCTTCAAGTACTTGGTGTGTGTTAAAAACCCCACAGGTACTTGCTGATGGGAAATTCTCACCTCTCTGAGTGCAGACAAGTGTGGTTGAGTTGGATGTTTTTTAAAATTTTCTCTTTACTCCAGAACTTTTTACTCCAGAGCTCAGAATTTTCTTGAGGATGTTTAGAAATATCTTCACTCGGGCAGAGTTCTGAAGGGTTTCCCCCTTAAAAATTCGTATTATTCCCTTTGTGCCTGATGTGAGGGATAATTAATTGTGTGAAAAGATCCATGTCATTACCCTGGAGGGGATGTGGAATGTGCCAGGGTCGGGTCCTGGCTGCCTGAGAGGGCTCTGGTGGTTTATTCTGCCCAAGGACTTCGTCTCCAGTGCTGAGCACACCCCAGGGCTGCATCATTTGTTCCTTATCAAAGCTGAGGAATGAATCAGAACTCGTTTCAGAGGGCGCAGTGGGAGGTGTGAGGCTGATATCGATATTAAAAAACGAAAGAAGAAGAAGAAAAAACCCAACAAAACTGAGTTTGTTGCTCCACGCTCGTTTCGGTGTTAATTATGGCGCTGAAAAAAAGGGTGATGCACTTCTTGGGAAGCTCAGGATCAGCAGGACCTTGCTCACAAGGCTGGCCCCAAAATTTGGCCTCTGCTCCTGGCCCTAGTACAGATTTCTTGGGTGACTTTGAGCAAAGCACTTTTGCTGTCTGATCACCTCACCAGCTCCAGAGGAGCCTGGTTTAGTCCTGCCAGGAGAGCTGAGGGCTGGGATTTGGGTGAGCTCTGCTTGGGAGCCCCCCAGGGCACAGTGATGTTCCTAAATCAGGGCATGGCCTTTGCATCAGCTGCCTGGAACACTTCCAGCCCCTCTGAGCTCTGGTTCTGGCTGGTTCCCTGCAGTATTTTGCCTTTCAATATCAAGCTACAAAGTAAAGACACAGATTGTAGAATCTGTGATCTGAAATAACAAATCTTTCCCGGTCTTATGTCAGGTTTTGATGCCTTCAGTGAGGCTCAGATTTCCATTTCCTCTATTCTCTCTCCTGATTAGGAAAGGAGTATGAGAACTTTTCTAGGCATGGTTGTCCTCTAAACCCATCCAAAGATCCACTTATTAATTTAGGTTTTGTGTTCTCAAAGGTAAATGTTTGTGCTTGCAGACCACAAAGCTTTCTGAAATATCAAACTACTCCTTATATATTCCTACCTCTCATGAGGATTGAAATGCTAATATTGACTTGTTTAAAAACAAAGGAAAATAAACCCCACACCCCACAACAACAACAAAACCCAACACTTCTGTCAACAGCATTAATCCACTTTGGGGAGAAAATCACTGATTCCCTGGAGCTGGGCTGGTGAGACAACACCAAAGACATGAGGAGGTGAATTAAAGATCAGGTCTGGATTGATAGAAAATCATCGGGATATTTCTGTTTGTCACTCAAAATTCTTGCAGGGCCAGACCAGACTGAGCAGGGCCAGCTCTTGGTTTTAGTTCCCCTTAGGAGCAGCATCAGCTCAGAGTATAAACACAGATTTTGCAGAGAGCTTAGCTGCAAAAATCACCAAAAATCTGTTTTCTCTCCATCACTCCACCCTTCATCTGCACTGCTGTGCTGAGGAGAGGCAGCGGCAGGAGGGATGAGGGTGGAGAAAGCATTTGCCATTAAAAAAAAGGGAAGGATGGATGGTCTGCAACAGTTTTGAGGCTCTGGAGTTATTTATACACCTAAAGTTGATAGTTTATAAACATTCATGTTCACATTTATAAACCTGAATCATGAATTACGGAGTTTTCGGAGGAAGAGGCAAATACGATGTTTTTGATCTTTCTCTCTACTTTTGTCTCTTCCTTTTCACCTCATAAATAAATGATGCTTAACTAAATGGCATTTATAAAATGCATTAAAGGAGGAAAAATTCATATTTTTACTTTGCTTGGCGTGGGGTGATGTGGTGCTTTATATCTTAATGTACAATTGAAATTACTTTTTGGAGAGCGATTCTTTGTTAAGCACTTCAAAAGTTAATCTAGAAACCATGTGTAAAATATGGAAATGGATGATTATCAGCCACCAAAACAGTTTTATCTGAGGAAAACATGCCCCTTTTCTGCAACTTCCTCATTTTAGATGTTTATTACAATAAGACTTTATCTGCCTGGCTCTGTATTTTTAAAGTATCGATGTAAAGACCTCAAAACCGGTTTAATCCTGAGTTATTTAATGTTACCCACAGCTTTTCTAAGCTCAATTAAAGCACAGTTAAGGGCAGGATGATAAGCACATATAGATTCTTTTACTATGAGTCTGTATATTTACTTTGGGCTGTGAAGCAATCTGCCTTCAGCTGCTGTGTACAGACCTCAGCCTGCGCTGCTGCTGCTCTGCAGAGCCCAGGTGTGCACAGAGGGAATTCTCAGGGTGAAAAACCAGCCCAGAGTCCTGCCTGAGCCCTTGAACTCAGGCTCTGGCCAGCTAGGAGGAAAAATAAAGTGATCTGGTAAATAGCAAAAGCAATAAACGTGAATAAATTGAGAATGAGCAATTCTGTTTGGATCCTGCTAATTGATGATTTCAGTGTGCTGCCCAGCAGTGAATATTCCAGGAACAGAAAGCTCAGGACTGACAAACATTGCCAAGGAGATTCTTCTCCCCACACAGCCCCTCCAACAAGCCAGACAGCCAAGCACAAAGGATTTCACTGAAAATTTGTACTGCTAAGGAACACAAAAAGCAAAAGGAAATGGGGACAAAGATATTCTTGCAGCTGTGGTCAGCTTTCCATCCTGGGCTTTGCTCTGTCCCAGTAGCTCTGTGCTGTCAGAATCCAGGGGTTTCCACAAAAAAAACTTCAGCAGAGAACACTTCAAACCCTCCTAAATTTGGCTCCAGCCAAACTCCAGAAGTTTCCCCAGTGCTCCCTGGCATTGCCCTGTCCTTCAGGCTCCCTTCAGGGCCCTGGCTTTCAGCTTGGATTTGTCAGGAAGAGATTGTGCTGCTGCATTATCTCAATTCTACACGTGCAGGGGCTCTCTGAAACGGAGTTTCATTAGGCTGGGGAGAAACACAACAGGGATATCTCACAGATAGGAGAGCCCACGGCTCCTTTGTGCCCTGGAGTGGCTGAAATTCCAGAGAAACCAACCTCAACGCTTTTGGCTTCGCTGGGAGCTCAGGCCCAGCCTAGCTGTCTGGTTTTGCAGTATCAGCTGTTACTAAGCACTTCAGCAGCAGGGAGGATGTCCCAGCGTGGGGCTGGTACTCAGCACTAATTCAGATATGCAAAACGTGGCTGAACAATGCCCTGGTGCCTGAGAGCAGAGGAGCTCGGGGCTGGTTTGGAGGGCAGACGTGCACATCCCTTAATTCTTTCCACTCCACTTGCTCTGGGGTTTGCTTCTCTTTTGGGTTTTGGACAAGGCTTTGAAGTAGAGCGAGTACAATGAAGTGTTCACCTGATTAATCTGTGTTTCCCCACTAAATGCAGTTTGGTGTGTCGTGGGATGGTTCACAGAATGGATCTGTTCCCAAGAGCTGCCTGAAACACCTGAAAGCATAAAATTCCTTTAGATAGAATCCTGGCCAAAAACCCCACCAGACCCTGCCTTGTTCTTTTTTTATGGGAAGAAAAAAATTGGGAGAGAAAATTTTTGGGGCAATTCAATGACTAAGAACTGAACAGCGACATGGGAATGACAAAATCCTGACCTCACTGCAACAAATATTTCTCTGGGAATGAAGCTCCTAAGTCAGTGTTAATTGAAAATTGATCCCAGGGGTCTGATTTTTAGAGGGAAGAGGGTTTTGTTCATGGTGTGGATGGTAATGGTGCTGTCATTAATGCCAAGAAGTTCTCCAGGCTCCCGTGGCCTTCCTCCAGCTCTTTTGGAAGGGCTGCTCCTCCCTGGGTAGGAAGTGTTGTATTTTGATAAAAACAAAACAGAAAAAAAAAAAAAAAAAAAAAGGAGTTTCTTTTTTAAATGAAGGACGCCCTGGCTTAATGGGGCTTGAAGTGTTTACAGGTGTTTCCTCACAAGTTCAAATTTAGTGGCCCCGGGGAGTTGAGATTCTCATAAGGCAGCAGCAAACACTCCAATTCTGGGTTTTAGAAGGGTGGAACATTTAAAGGGCCAGGCTGGCATGGCCGGGGGGCTGCTTTGGCTGTGTGAAGACAAGAGTTTGTGCCATCCAGAGCAGCAGAAGGTGAGAAAAAAAAGTCATCCTTAGTGCCACAAAATCTTCCTGAAAGACCCTTTGCTGCTGCCCAACCTTTTGCCCTGATTTTGCAAATTTGTGGTGAAAATCCCAGGAGAGGCAGGTTCCACCTTGGGCTGTTCAAACCCAGCTTGGTGACACCTTTTTTGTGCAGAACATCTCCTCAGAGGAGCTGCTGAGCGTGGGGAAGGAGGAGAAGAAGAAGAAGAAGCAGCAGAGAGCAAAGGGAAAATGTAGAAGTGGCTGTGGTTGGAGGGGTGATGATGTCACCGGGCTCAGCGGGAACACGGCGCTTTTAAAAAGCTGAAAGAAACATCCTGACCCTCACTTGTCACATCCCCACCCAGGAGCCACGCACACACACGCACGGAGCAGAGTAATCCTCAGCCAGGAAGGGGGGAAAAGCTCCATCCCACCACAGAATGCACTGGCAAAAACGTAAGTGAGCTCTGGTTTGCTTCTCCTACCTCTGGTGGCAGCTGAGGGAGGTGAGGGATAAATCAGCAGAGAGTGGCAGGGGAGGGGATGCTCAGGAATGGCTGGAGAGAGGCCAGGGCTGAGGTGTGATGCTCATTTTCCAGCAGGGATATGAGCTAGGGCTGCTTTGTTGGCTTCTTTCATCACTATGAATCAAGTGGAAGACTATGATTCATAAAAACAATAACAGGATGCAGGTATTATATCAAAGGTTACGGTGGTTACGTAGCAGAAAATTTTCCTTTTGAAAAGTGAAACCTGTGAGAAATCTTATTTCTGTGCCTTTTTTTTTTTTTTTTTGATATGTACTTCTTTCAGCTAATTAAAAAAAGATAAGGAACAAAGCAGTTGAGGGCAATACAGTTATGACTTTACAGGAAATCAGTTTTCTTGTTTTCAAGATAATTTCACTCCTCTGGGCCCACCTTTGCTGGAGTAGTTTACTGATCCTGCTCCAGGTAGGTGTTTGCTTCTTGCAAGGTTTTCATTCTCACTCTTATCACCACCACATCTCGCTTGTCATCAGTAGGGGATGCTCATTTTGGCACCCGTGCTGCCACCCTTTGCCTCTCACCCTGCTGTTCCATTAACACAGAATGGTACAACACACCTGAGTGGAAAAATTAATTTCTTAAACCCTTGCCAGCGGCTTATCTGACATTACTCATGTTTTATCTCAGCTTGTAGGTTGTTCTGCTGCGTGTAGTAAACCAACCATGTGCCTTTGTGAGCTTTGAAATCTGTTTCCTCTGGGTTTTTGTTTCCCTGACTTCTTTCTTTTCAGCTGAATATTTTGGAAGCTCAAATGTGTATTTGGGAAGTTTGGTTTGTATTTCCCCCTTCACCTTGAGCAGTTTTCAGGAGAAGACGTGGGAAAAACTGCAAGATGATTACATCCAAATCCTGGTTCTAATCTTCCATCTCAGAAGTCCCTGAATGTTTGGGGTTTTTTTGGGTTGTTTTTTTTTATTCCTGCAGTGACAAAGCAATGCTAACAGCAATGCTTTGGGTAGGAGGAAATTGGGAACTGTTGTTCCTAACTGGGAAATGCTGTTTTTATTTTGCTTTTTTCCTTTGACACTTGCAGGAATTACAAGTCAAATTTTGTCCGTCATTCCCTGATGATAATTTGTAGACAACTCCTGGCCAGTGTCCCCTGAGCTTGCTCATGCTTGTATCTCCCTCCTTTTGTAGTTTTGTCAGAATTCCCTTTTCCAGCAGGGAACTGCTGGAAATCTGGTTAATGCTGCTGCTTTTGCAAGGCACTGCACGTGCTGGCTTTGAAGGAGGCAGGAGGGGAGAGCCCTGCTGAGCTCGGGGCAGGTACCCAGGTGCCAGACCCCGCAGGTTTCAGGGGAAGCTGCAGCTCCCAGCAGCTCTGCCTGTCCCCTTTGGTGTCCCCTCTGCTCCCTGTCAGTGTCACCAGCCGGGAGCTCACGTTTCTGCACCCCCTGCTCCAGGCCAGCTGTGACCCCACGGATGTCCCCACCTTGCTCTGGAGCAGAACTCGATGCAGAGGCAGCTCAGGTGACCTGGGAACTTTCCAAACTGAAACCCTGAGGTTTGACTCACCTGGGGCTGCCAGCACCAAGACTTTGGGTTCAATCCCTGTATGGGCCACTCACTTCAGAGTGGGTGATCCTGGAGGGTCCTTCCCAGCTCTGAACATTCCGTGAATCTCTGAAAACCCAGAAGTGACACAAGAACTCCCTGAAGCAGCAGGTGACCTCACCTGAGCGCATTCTCAGGGCGCTTTGTGCTCCTTCAGGGGACATTTCTGCAGGACCACGAGGCAAGCTGGGCCACTTTTCTGGGCAGGGAGGCTGGCCAGGCTGGCCCTGCAGGCTGGGAATGTTCCCCAGGTCACGGCACAGTGACTCCCCTGCAGGACTGGGGCCCTGGGCTTCCGCTCACAGCACCGAGCGTGGCTCAGCCCGAAAGCCTCCCCTCCCACGGCCCAGGAGAAGTGACTGGTCGGGGCTCCCCAGGATTCTGCTGAACAGGAGCAGCCCCAGCAGCCCCTCAGGGATGGGGAATTCATGGGCAGCACCAGATTTTTCCTCTTGGTTTGCTTTTGTGGTGACCTCCGTAGCGAATTTTTGAAAGCAACCCGGATGTTCCGTCCATACAAATGGTTTGTGTTCTGCAAAGCGTGGAAGCAGCTTGGGCTTGATGATCTCAAAGGTCTTTTCCAGCCTAATTAATTCTAATTCTGCAGGAATCTCCTATTTAGGTGCTGGTTTTGCCTGTGTCCAATTTTTTTTTTTTTTCCTGTTGCAGTCACTGGCAGAGATTGAGCTGCTCAGATTCCCTTTACCACGGAGAGATGTGAATTCACACCTCTGCAAAATCCCTTCCCAAATGCCTTTAAAGTGAATAAAAAATCCTTTCCTGCCCACAACAGATGTGGGGCTGCACAGAGCCACCCTGAAAGTATCAGCTAATGAGACTGAGAGGTGAAACTGCAGCATTCTGCACCTTGTGAGTGCTAATTTTGGTAAAACCCCACCAGGAAAGAGGGATAGCACGAAAGTTGAGCCCATCCATGCTTTGCAAAGCAGGTGTCAAACTCTACGAATGACCACAGCAGCAATTAAATGGAAAGCTTGCATTACTAAAATGGAAAGAGTATTATGGGCTGGGAGGAATTAGGGTGAGACTTAAGGTTAAAGACACTTTCTGTCTATCTCAGCTTCCCCTTTGCACCAGGGCTCCTCTTCTTCTGAAACAGAGAATTTTTAGTGTCCCTCACCACTACAAGGCCAAGGCATCCAACTCTCATTTGGCACTTGAAAGTTTTTAGTTTTTTTAATAAGAATAATCAGAGCAGCAGGGATCAGCCAGCATTTTGTGTCTCCCCTTGATTTTGGTTTCTATCCAAGTGGAAAAATCTAAAATCCACTCTGTATTTGCTCATCTGCAATACCTTCCTTGTGTGGGAGCAAAATGCAGGCTCTACACAGTGCTCTCCACTCATTTAGATCCTTTTAGGTGTGAAGCAAATTGTTTTAAAGGACAGTTATCCAAAGCATTCCTCAAGAACATCATGGGGCACACAGATTTGCCTGAATCTAGGGCTACTTTGATTCCTGCAAAATCTTCCAACACCTGAAAATGAAGATATTGGGCATAAATCTAAAATATTCTTCTGTCAAATGGATATTTCACTGACTTTGGTGGCTATGATGCAGTGTAGGAGATCTGGCCAAACAGGATTCTGAGAGGTGAAATATTGAGGCTGCTGAATTACGCCCAGGACCCTCCTGAGTTCATTTCCTCGTGCTGAGCAATCAACCATCACTCAGCCCTTTTTGCCCCTGCTCCGAGCTGGGCTGGTTTTAAAGCAGATTCTCTGCCCTGATGTTTGGTGGGTGCTTTGCATTGGCAAAAATCTTCACTGAATTCCCCACCCACAGTGAGTTGAACAGGATAAATGATGAGTTGGGGATGAGAAACTCCCCAAAATGTTCATTTCTGCCACTCCAGCAGCTCTGGCAGAGCTCATGTTTGTGGAGTTGATGTTTTCACGCAGCACCAGAACTCTTTAGTATTTCCACTCAAATAAATTAATTCCAATTAAATTGAAAAAGTAAATTGTATTAATCCTCTCTAGCCCAATTTTCCTTGTGCTCTCTGTAACTTCACGGGAAATTTGGGTTGTGTCAAATGCACAAGAAGCTGCATGTCCAGCCCTTCAAATGGATGTGCAAACCTGGGGCTTTGGGATGTATCCTTTGGGACTGGAAAGACAATGAAGCAAGGAATGGCCAAATGGAACTCAGACAAACATTTTCTGAATTGTTTCATGATTTACTTGGCACTGATGAGGTTATTCACTCTCAGGACCAGCCAGAGAATTATCAGTCAGGTGGGTATTAATGAATTTGGGTCAGGTGTCAGGGACCTGGTGCTCACCAGCCTGTGGACACCAACACAACTGGTTCAGATGGATCCTGGCAGAAATAACTGGATTTTTGTTTCGGGGGCTGGAGTTACAGGTGGGTCGTGTCAGTGTTTCACCTTTAACTGTTAGTTAGATCAATTAAAATATTAATTAAAAGCAGGATATAACCTGAGGGACTGGGATGGAAATGAAGATTTCTGAGTGACTCCCTGTCATGTCACTATCTGGGATTTTTGGGCAATTAAATGCATTTTCTTTACTCCCCTGCCCTGGACTGGCCACAAAGCAGAGGTAAAGTTCACCCTGGGTCTTTTGAGGGAAACTCTGCAATTAGCCAGGATCATGACCAATGTTGAGTCCCTTGCCATGGGCATGGATGTAAAAAGGTTTTGATTTGACTCTAAAGCATACAAGCCTATGAAACGAAGCCTCTTTCTTCTTTTTATTAGCCAAAGTTCACTGTGTCTGATAAAAATGTGATTTGGTCTCCAATATCCAAGCCATTAACTCAGGGCTTTGCTAATTGAAATCTAAATTTTTCTTGTTATTTGCAGTCAGCGATTGCTTTTCGGTGTTACTGCAAACAAGAGAAACTATTGTGCTTCTTTTCAATTATTTATTACACTGGAGAGTGAAAGGAGGTAAAAAAAAAAGGGAAAACTATTTGCAGTGTTAACACTGATCAATTGATAATTTTATTACGTGGCTGTGAGCACAGAAATCTGTGAGAGGGAGCAGTGGTGTGGTGTTCACATGAACAGAAATTTAGCTTTCTTAGGGTTCTCCTGAGAAAGGCTGTGAGAGAAGCAGAGAAAAGAATGATCAAAGCAATTCTTCTCTCCTTTGCCGCTGCTGTGTTTGTGCCAATGTGGAGTGCTCTGGAGATTGTTTACCCGAGGTGATTTCTTGGTTGGGTTTGGTGATGGTTTTGGATTCATGGACCAATTGGATCCACGTGTGTGTGTGTGTGTGCCAGGACTCTTGGGCAGGAGTCACGGGTTTGCTAGTGCGTTAGTGACTGATAGTTCTTGTTAGTGTAATATAGCTGTAGTATAATATAGTGTGATAAAGTCATTAATTAGCCTTCTGATATCACGGAGTTTGCACATCATTCCTCCTGCATCCGTCGGGCGTCACAGCGCCGATAGAGCGGGACGCTGCTGCGGGCAGGGCTGGGGCAGGACCAGCGGGGTGTTCCAGAGTGAAATCTGCCTGCTGGGAAGCTGCTGTGCCTGGGCTGGGGGGCTGAGAGCGAGCTGCAGCTCCTCTGTGTGTGTGTGAGTGCGAGAGGGGGAAGCTCAGTGATCTGGAACCCGCCGCGCTTCGCTGCCCGCACCCTTCCCGCAGCTGCTCTGCCCCGCTCTGCCTCCCGTTTCTGCCGTGGTCAAACCAAAATGTAGGGGAGGACAGAGCTTGAATTTTTGGTGATGTCTTGGCGTGATTTCCCTGCCTGGCCTTTGGCTCAGATCTGTGGTAATCACATATCCTCTGAACAGAAACAGTTCTCCAGGATTTTCCTGGGAAGCTGAAGTGAGAAAGCTCAGAGAAAGAATTCAAACAATTATTATCCCTTATTCTGTAACTGTTCTTTATAGATATGGTTCTCCAGAGTGTGCCATTCATAGTTCACCAACAGGTGAGAGAAGATTCCTAAAGGGCAACCAGGTCTTAAGTCCACCATCATTTCTATAAGAACTGTAGATTTCTAAATAAAGTGCTTTTCATGCCTTCTGCTGATGGAGCCTCTCTATGACCTTTGTCTGTCCCCAGTACCCCTTCGGTGATACAGATCAATATTTTTGAGGTATTTATGCAGTCTGTATCTGCATAAAATGAGGGTGGCAGATCCCTGGAACTTTTTTGGGCAGTTTGGATGCTTCCAGGCTGAGCTGCAGCGTGGTCTGGGGTCCACCATCTCCCTGCTGCTGTCACTTGATGTTTTGAGCCATTTGGTGCCTTTCCAGCAGCTCTGGTGTTCAGCAGCAGCTTTTAAAAGTTGCTCACAATTCTTCAAGGCTTTTGTGGACTTTTAGCAAATACATCAGGTGATAACATTGATGGAGGGAGCCTGGGGCTGAGCACACGCCAGGGCTGGGGAGGCAGCCTGGCCAAAGCTCTGAAATGGGCCCAAGTGAGATGTGGTAACCATTGCAAAGTGGTTGGATTTGGATTCCTTCTCTTCTTCCTCCACTGGAGATGTCTCAAACTGCCCCAGCTTCACAGAGCAGGTGCAAATCAAAATGTGCCTGCAGCATGTGGGTGTTCTGTGGGCCTGGAATGGCAGGAGACAAGCCAGGACACTGCTGCTATTCCTTTATCTCCTTTAGATCCATTTTATTGAATGGAACTTGGGCTCTCATGACTAAAATTAAAATAAAATGGAATCCTGGTCCAAGACAGCTTCATAGTTTGTTAAAACCTTTATGTATATTAAATGGAACTTGGGATCTCGTGACTGAAATGAAAATAAAATGGAATTTTGTTCCAAGACAGCTCCGTAGTTTGTTAAAACCTTTATATAAGGATGACTAAATCCAGGTTCTTCCTTTACAAAGCTATTTTAATTGTCTCCGAATGCTGATATTTGTATCATTATTCCTCCAAATGCTGATATTTGTAAACGGCCATATGTCTTTAGCTCGATGAGGAATTGCACCCCGAAGCCCCAAAGCCATTTTGCTGTGGTCTGTCTGTGATGCTCAGACCCACAGGCCCCTGAGCAGTGGAAAAGCAGCTGTGCTCACATTATTTTTATTTCTGGAGGTCAGCTTGGGGGAACCGAAATATGATCTGCAGACTTTGGTTTTTAAAATTTTTTTTTCTCTTTATATTTTTTTTTCTTTTTTGGTTGCTCTGCTTACTTACACCGGAAACTCTGAATAGGTATATTTGTCAGCTTTTACAGTAAATTTCTTCTTTCCCATCCCCCAAACCTGGAGCCAGAAACCACCATCCTTCCCCACCCTAATTCTGCAGGGAGGCCCTTTATGAGTTGGGGATGAGAAACTCCCCAAAATGTTCATTTCTGCCACTCCAGCAGCTCTGGCAGAGCTCACATTTGTGGAGCTGATGTTCTCACGCAGCACCAAGAACACCAGAACTCTTTATTATTTGCACTCACATAAATGAATACCAATTAAATTGAAAAAGCAAAAGGTGAATTGTATTAAAAACCCTTGTGCATATTTGTATGGAGCTTAAAGAACCTTTATTCTCTTTTAAAATTTCATTTTGAAAACCAAAGGATTCACTGGAATGCAAGAAACCTGATTTAAAGAGCCACAAAGGATGTCCACAGAAAGCAAAGGTAGATCAGGCAAAGGCTGGGAAATCATCTTTGCTTCAGCTACTGACTAAAAGTAAAATATTTCCTTAATGTGCATAACAAAGGCAACAGTTCAGTGCACAAAAGGAGTTCTGTCTGCTCCTAAAAGGATTTATCATGGCCAATCAAGTTTTCATAATTACATTATGTATAATGAGTTAACAGAAGAGCCAAGATGAAGGGAAAAAAGTATTTTTGAAAAGAAATCAGAGCAGAAACATTTATTCCGTTAAGTAATTTTTGTGGTGGATTTATGATCTCTGTATTTAGAGCTCCATTTTTCTCCTCCCAGGAAGGTTCAACAGAAACATCTCAGTGTGCCCAGAATTAAATGTGGCTGGGAGAGATATCTGAGGTGAAGTTATTCATTCTTGTAGGATGTGAATCCAAATAAATGCTCCGGGGGTGGAATAATAGTTTAAAATCCAGATTGGAGCTGGACAGCCACCTGTACCTCAAAACCAAAGGCCAGCCCCAATCGTTAAAAATGGAAAACTTATCAATTTCTGTATTTGCACATCAAAGTGCAGTAGAAGGGGCAGGCATCTGCTATCGGTGCCTTTGCAAACGCCAGCCTTTGATATCCCCTGGTTTCCTTCTGCTATCAATCCCCTTAAACACTCCAGTAAAATATGAGTTGTTAATTCTGGCTCTGGCAGAAACGTGCTTCCCCTGCTTGCTCTGCTCACATGGCTTTGGGAGAGGCTTTTGGAGCTGCCTGCAAACTTAATTCTTCAAAATGGAGCAGAATTTGTGGGTGGGAGCTGGGAGGTTTTTGGGTGTGAGATCTGTGATGTGTTGTCTCCTGTTTATCAACCTCCTGGCCAGGCTATGAGAAAAATTTCTTCAGAACTGAAATACTCTGGTCTAGGTTGGGACTTCAGCACCTGCCTGATCTCAAAATGAGATATTTAAGTTCAACTAATGGTGTTTAAACGTTTTTTCAAGTGAGGATGTTTTCCTGATTTGGGTTGTTTTTATACCTTCTACCTAAACAGTGAATATATTTATCTTAAATATCTAATCTCTGCTTTTTTATGTCCCTGCCTGGCCAACAATTCTGGTGTGTCACCTTTTGGGTATATTTGGTCTGATTTTCCTTTTGGGAGTGTGTGAAGCTGCTCTGCAGGTCAGTGGCACTGAGGGACACAAAGGAAAGGAAGAATGAAATAAATGTGTTCCTGCTCCAGCCACCAGGCTGCTGTGGGGATTTGGAGTCCCTGAGAGGAAAATAAATGTTACATAAATTTTTAATTTCTTCTTTTCCCCTCAGCTTCTGCCCCAGAGCAGCCCCAGCCTCGCCCCTACCAAGGTGTCCGAGTGAAGGAGCCCGTGAAGGAGCTGCTGAAGAGGAAAAGGGGGAATATCCAGAATTCCAGTGCAACTGCAGCTACAACGGTAGGGGAAAAGCAAACAGGAGGAAAGTTCTCCCTCAGGAGCTCAGAGCTTGCCCAGCCTCAGCGCTCCTGTGCCAATGGAAGAAAATCTTTGCATCTCCAAAGCATTTCAAAGGCCCTGCAGCCTGGTGTTACCTGGCAGTGCCATTAATTCTCCTTAGCTGGGGTGCTTTTAGTGAGCTGAGCACTTTCCACCCCTTAATGGAAAGGGGAAGTGCTTTGCACTTGGCAGGAGCTGATTGCTCGGGACTGAAAGTGCCTTGGAGGGAGGCAGCTTGTTCAGGAGTCTGAGAGTGACCACCCCGAGCATCCCTGGCTCTTTGCTGCTTCTTTTCAGCCTGAATCTGCCCTCCCAGCAGGCAGCAGCTTGGCTGGCTCCTCTCTGGAGGAGAATTCTCTCTATACAAGGGATTTAAACACACTTTAAGGTCCCCTTGGGCTGAGGGGACATTGTGGGTGTTTGGGGTGGTGTGTCCTGGCTGTCAGGTCCAGCTCTTCTGGCCCTTTGTGGGGTGGGGGAGTTCAGACCCTGCTGTGCTCTGTGCTTCTCTAAGGGATTGAATTTAATGCTGATGGGCTTCACCTCTGATTTTTTATTTTTCCTTCTCTCTTCCAGGTTGTTCTGCCCCATCAGCCAGTCCCTTCCTACTCACCCATGGGTAAATATCCCTGACCCTCCGGGACCCTCCAGGGAAGACTGTGCTGAGCTGGGCTTTAATCCTGTCCTATTTTCCAGGCCAGCCTTGCATTGACATGGACGCTGCTGCCCCTGCTCTGCCCGGCCCAGAGGAAGGAGCTCTGGCCTCTGGATGGATCCCCCAGCCCCCTGGCACCCCCCTGCAGCCCCTGGCTCAGTGGAGCCCCTACCCTGACTACGTGTCCCACGAGGCTGGCAGCTGTCCCTACACAGCAGATATGTACGTCCAGCCCGTGTGTCCCAGCTACACCCTGGTGGGACCCTCCTCAGTCCTCACTTACACTTCCCAGCCTCTCATCACCAATTTTGCAGTAAGTCAAAAGCACCAAGCTGGAAATGATGTTAATTCCCACCTTCTAGCAAGAGCTGCGGGGAGGAGTTAGGCAAATTTATTTAATTATTGTAATGTTGCGTGTCTTTGCATCCGTGCCATGCAGTTCCCAGGACAAATATGGTTTGAGCAGGGCAAAAAGTTGTGGTTGATTCCAGTACAACCACAGCAGATTCCTCTGCTGTGGTTGTACTGGAATCAGGCAAAATTCAAATGCAGTTCCCAGGACAAATATGGTTTGAGCAGGGCAAAAAGTTGTGGTTGTACTGGAATCAGGCAACATTCACAACCTTTTCCCCAGCTGTCTTCACTCGTCCAGACTGAGCAGGGATTTTCACTCTTTATTTCCAAGTTTAAAATTTAAAAAAAATGTCAGTGGGGTTCCAGGAAACATATTGATCAGGTGAGGCAGCAAGGATGACTTGGCAATAAATTTAAAGGATAAAGCAGCAAGGTGAAAATGCATAAAGATAGCAAAATATTTGGCTTCAGGCCAGACCAAATCTGCTTGGCTGACACAAGATGATGTGATTCCCTTTAGAGGGGAACAGGGAGCTCTGTTCCAGTGGACCTCAGGAGCTGGTTTTCCTTCCCCTGGCGCAGTTTGGCTGCTCAGGCAGACACAGCCAACCCCCAAGGCCATTTCTGTGTCCTGCTGGCCCCTGGTGCTGGGCCGTGGGCTGGCTTGGGGATGTGGCTCTGCCTGGGCTGTTCCAGAGGCCACACGAGGGACCTTCAGCCTCGGTGGCAGCAAAGTTGGGGCTGTGCAGAGGGCAGCTGCCAGCACAGGCTGTGACAGGCTCACAGGGATGGGGACAGAAAGCTGGAGGGAGCCTGAGGCGGGCGTGACTTGGGCACAGGAAAAGTGTCACCATCAGCACCTGGAGGGGAAGGATGGGGCATGTCAGAAGTGGGATGAGCATCCCCATCCTGTGCTGCATCCTCCCCCTGCCCCAGCATTTAATTGTCTCCTGAATGACCCCAATGTGGGAATAACGTGTAGTGACTCCAATGATTTCAGAAGGCTGAACAATTGCTTTATTAAGCTATACTATACTAATACCATACTAATACCATACTAATACTATACTATACTAAAACTATACTAAAGAAAAACCCGTGACCCTTTCAGACAGTCACGACACAGCTTTGACCTAATTGGTCAATCAATCCAAACCAACCAGAGTCCAATTAACAAATCCCTTTTGGTGACCAATCTCCATAACACATTCCACGTGTGCCAAACAACGGGAGGAGCAAGTAGAGATAAGAATTGTTTTCTCTTCTTTCTCTGAGCTTCCTCACTGCCTTCCCCAGGAGAAATCCTGGGAGAGGGAATTATGTCTCTCTCTGTTCAGAGAAATATGTAACAAACGAATTATGTCTCTCTCTGTTCAGAGAAATATGTGAATACTGATTTGTGGAAGCAAACAAACGAATTATGTCTCTCTCTGTTCAGAGAAATATGTGAATACTGATTTGTGGAAGCAAACAAACTCCACAACTTTTGTGAAAGTTGTGAAGCTGGGGTGTTTATTACAGCGCTGGACACATGTGGGAATCATTCCCCTTAGAATGACATGTGTGCCTCTGGGAACTCCAGATCCTTTTTTATCTCCGTCTCAAATACATATACATGCAATTTCACAATAGATCCATACATATTCATTCTACTGATTTTGGTGACATTTGCCGCTGATTTTTTCCTTATCAGAAAGAACTCCTGGGTCATTTCTCCCTGCTCTCTCTGTCTGCCCCCCTTATCTCTTGTCCTTCTGCTGAAGCAGTTTCTCCAAGCATACATTTCTGCAAGAACAGGCAGTCAGACCAAACAGCTATATTTTGCAAGCTACTCAAAGCTTTACCCAAAGATGCACATTTCACCTCAACCAAAAAGGAAAATCTCCATTGTGCCTCAACACCAGGCCGCTTGTCTCACTTTGCTGTCTCTCTGTGCCCTTCCCCAGCCCCGCAGCAGCACGCCGGCCGTGGTGCCACCGCTGGAGGTGACGGAGCAGCAGCCGCCCCTGACCTACTTCCCGTGGGCACAGCCCCTGTCTGCCCTGCCAGCCTCCACCCTGCAGTACCCTGCAGCCTCCTCCTCCTTCCCCGGGCCCCAGCTGGTGCCCGTGCCCATCTCCATGCCCGAGCCAGCCCCGCAGGAGCTGGAGGATGCCCGGCGAGCCATCGGCGCCCTGCCCATCGAGAGGCTGCTGCTGGAAGATGAAGACAATGATACGTACGTGTTGAGCCACGCTCTCTCTGTCGAAGGGCTTTAGGTTGGCACATCCTCAGCTGCTCAGTGCTCCACCCGGCAGCTCCGTGGGTTTTGGAGAAGCAGGCGGGGTTGGGGTGGGAATTTTAGCGCGCCGTGATTTGTGCGGTGAGGGAAATTTGCTTTGTCCTGGCGCCCAGCACAAGATTCCTCTGCTGTTCCAGCTCCTGCTGCCTCTCCCGGGCAGGTTTGGATGCTGCACGCTTGTGCTCAGCACCAGCACAAGGTGATTTTCACCCTCATGACCTCAAAACGACAGATTCCAGTGTAGCCACAGCCAGCTGTAGCATTTGGTGAGGGTACAATTGTTTCTAAATATTGCCAAACCCGGTTCAATAGGGTTGCTTTTGTGTAAATGCATTGTCTGTGTGTCTTTGAGCTGTCCAGGGAGGAACTCTTACCAGATTTAGGCCACTAGAAAACATTGTGGGGGCTAAATTGACACTTTTGTCTCCTAAATTTTACTATTCCTTTGGAAATCAGGAAAACATAAAGCGTAGCTTCGTTCTGCTGGTGCAGGTAGATGCAGTAGTGTGAAAATAAAGCTGAACTAAACACCAGAGCAGTCAGAGATCCCTGTTTGGAATTGACACCAAGGTGTACCTGGAAGGTTTGCCCTTGTCTGCCCCTGCAGGTGTGGAGCAGAGGGTTGGGGTCGTGTTCTTTCAGCTGCAGAGGGGTTTGGAGCTCTGAAATATCCAGATTTGAGATGTGGGGCTGATTTAGTGGCTGGCTGGTAATGCTGCCAGTGACTGACCCCGTCCCACGGAAATCTCTGGGAGTTTTGTCTGTCAGGAATGCAATTCATGGCCCTAGATCAGGAGATCATTGAGAAAACAGGGATTTTCCAGAAGCTGGACTGCAGCCCAGCAAGGACTCCATGGCATTACTGTTACCTGGCAGTATTTTCTCTTTCCTGTAGCGTTTGAGTGTGATGTGCTGAGCCAGGGAACTTTAGTGACCTCTCCTTGGAAAGCTCCCCAGGCCCAGAGGTGCACACGATTCCTTTATGGCTTTCTGATTTCCTTTCCTGGAGAATGAGGAGCTTCACTTTTCCCTCTGATGCGAGTGTAAATATTTTGGTTGAGGCTCAGGAGTGCCACAGCACAGGCAAATATATTGATATATTTCAGGAGATACATCCCCTTCGAACCCTGCTTATTGATTTCTTGACAAACAAGAGGCTCTTGGCTGGTGAACACAATTTCTCTGGGTTTTTCTGCTTTCTAAAGCCCAGGATTGTTAGATGGTTTTATTATTTGCAAGAGACTAACTGCAAAATAACTTCTTGTACTCTTTATTACCTGGAGTCCAGCTGCCACCCAGGCAATATTTCAACTGGCCTTAGAGTTCGTGCCTGGGTGAGGTTTGAAAACCCAGGTTGAAAGTCTTAAAGACTTTCCAAGAGTATTTTTATTGAATATTGACAAACGTGGAAGACACGAGCACTAGATCATGTAAGTGATCATAAAGTTGTTGGAAAAGAGCAGTAGTTGAGGTTTGCATGGAAATTAGTGGCTTATATTTGCAGAAAAACCCAGCAAAGAAATTAATTCCAAGGAGCTTAATTCACCACTGCTTCCTCCAGTTTTGTGACATTCAGAGATATTCCCTAGGTAAAACTGGGATAAAGCAGTTGTGAATCAAGCCTGTGGTTGCTCTGATTGCTTTTCAATTCCTTTCACTCCAATGTATGTAAATTCTGTGTGTGAACTTAAAACAAAGATGAAACTGTTTCATCATTTCTTTCTGGGTTGTTCTGGTTAGAAAAAAAGACAATTTTTTTTTCAATAAAGATCTACAGTAACTTCACTATGCCTAGAGTGTTTTATTTCCTATCCACAAGCATTGGTTTAGCAATTAATTCAATAATATATGTACAGGCTAGTATCAGAGATTAGCTGTCAGACTTTGTCCTAATTTTACACATTAAGCAGACTAAGAAGGAATTCCTTGATCCAGCTGTGGCCTGGAGGCATTTCCTGCAGCAGTCCTTGCTCCTGCAGTTCAGCTTCATCACTTTTATCCTCTCCTGGCACCCCTGGGGATGTGTGGGTGTGCAGCCACAGCTAATGCTGAGCTTGACTGAAAATAGATTAGCCAGAAAATTGTATTTCCACCTCCTGAGATTGCGAGGGGTGTACAAAACTACCTGAGGAGAGAACAACTGCCCACCACCTTCTGCCTGAAAAGCATCACATATTTCTGTCTGGAGCAGAATGAAGCCAGGGGTTGGGGTGACTGCGCGTGGGGTGGGCTCCTCCTGTTTTAGAGGGTTGGAATTTCCTTCAAGTAGGACCTGGGGGAATGGAAGTGGCTCCAGCCCGAGGCAGATGACCAAAGTGAAGGAGAGAAGTGTTCTCCCCATCACTGAGGGCCACCAGCCACTCCCATGGGCTGTGCCAACTCTTTGTCCGGTGTAAAATATAAGGACTGTGTCCCTCTCACCAGGAATTTTGATAGAAATTAGAGTTTACCAGGTTGATATGTTACAAATACATCAATTAGGGGGTTTAAGAGATTTATATATTACAAATACATCAATTAGGGGGTTTAACCTGTTGATATATTACAAATACACCAATTAGGGGGGTTAGCATGTTGATATATTACAAATACACCAATTAGGGGGTTTAACATGTTGATATATTACAAATACTTCAATTAGGGGGTTTAGCATGTTGATATATTACAAATACACCAATTAGGGGGTTTAACATGTTGATATATTACAAATAATTCAATTAGGGGGTTTAACCTGTTGATATATTACAAATACATCAATAAGGGAGAGGTTGTTACCCAGGATGGTGAGGTTTCACCCACACATCCAGAGCTGTATCACCCCAAAAAGTGATTTATACATCCAATTCCCCAAACTGGGAATGGTGGAGGACTTTGACACCTCCCATTGGTGAATCTCAGCTGCCAGGAGGTGACAAGGAGGCAGCAGGCAAAGCTCAGGAGTGCTGAGGGCTCTTGGACACTGCAGCTGCTGGAGGTACGAAGCCCTTCCCATGAAAACGGGAATTTTTGGGGCACATGGCAGGGATTTGTGGAATTCTGGCTGTAAAACCCCAAAAGTGGCAGTGCTACCCTGTAAAACTGTTTGCTCCCAGCGCGGTCCACGGTCCATCAGTGATGGGTGTCTTTATTTATTTGCTGTCTTAGAATTCTGCATATTTATGCAGCTAAAGGCCTGCGGGCCCACACGCTGGCAGCCGCAGAGCGCATGAAAGCCCTGAGGAGACTCGATGCCAAGGAGCACAGAGGAAAGGTAAAAAGGGGCCACTTTCTCCTGCAGACAGCAGGCTTTGGGATGGGAACAGTCTTGGTGCCCTAAAAATCCAGCTCTGCCCCTCTGCTCCTGCAAGGAAGGCTTGACGGGCCTCACCCGGGGCTAGGATTGTAAAATTCAGTGGCAGGATTGTAAAATTCAGTGGCAGGATTGTAAAATTCAGTGGCGTGGCCATAAATCGGGTGGGGTGAGAATGAGGCCATTCTTTTTTCAGCCCATGAGTGATGTGAGAAAACGCTGGTCCAGTAAAATATTTGTGTGTTGGCATCAGTCTCCGAGGCTGAAGGGTTTACAGCCAACTGACTTGTTGTGTACCTGATGAAATCCGGCTTTAAAAAATGCTGGGTTTGGGTTGCCATCAAATTCAGGGCTGAAGAACACCAGAGGGAGTCCGGCAAGAGCTGGAAATCCCCATCTCACGTGGGATTCCAAAGCATCCTGTGAGCTGGGCTCATTCCTGGCACCACAATCCTTGGGATTTCAGCCGGCACTCAGCCAGCACTTTCCCACTCCTTGTTTTACACCAGCAGCTGCTGCTGCTGCCTTAGGATTTTAGCTTTTATATTTTTCATATATTTATAATCCTGCAATTCTTTAGTGTATAAATCTGAAGCTCCGTAGCCTGTCAGTTATTGTTCTCCTATTTTATTCAGACAAAATTCCTCTGTAGGCCTGGAAACCAAGAACACCTCACTGTCTTAGTCCCTAAAAAGTACAAACAAAAGTAAGTTTGGGGGGAGCAAACTGGGGGTAAATTACTTCATTACCTAAAGCTTTAATTGGAGTATTAACCCCTGATGTGACCAAACTTATAATTGTCTGAAAAACTCATGACCATCTTGGGTGTAGCCTCTGGGAGGCTTTGACTGCCCAAGGTGTTCCTATTGAAGGGCTTTAATAAATACCCACTTTTATCCAGTTAATCTTGCCTAGCCTCTGTTTTAGGGAGCCATTCCAAGGCATCCCTGCCAGGCTCTGGAGTTAGTCTGAGCTCTCACAGCTGTCTGTGCTGCTGTTGCAGACTCCCCTGCTGGTGGCTGTCACTGCCAGGCACGCAGCCATCGTCCACGACCTCATCCAGGCAGGAGCAGATGTCAACGCCGTGGACAACAAGGGGCAGTCAGCTTTACACCTTGCTGCAACGTATGGCTACACCCAAGTCCTCCAGGTAGGGGAAGTGGGATGGTTTTAATTGCTGGCAGTGTAAAACTACAATAAGGTGTTGGTGTTGGTGTCGTTAAATAAAGGCAAGAGCTCAGTGAGGGATGGAGGCTGAGCAAAGGCTGCTTGTGTCAGGGATTGATTTCCCAGGGTGGGTTTTATTCCTTTTTTAGGACTGTGCTTGCAGCCTGCTGTTACAGAGGAAAATTCTTTAGTGGCTCTGTGGAGGGAAATGAATTATTTCTGCAGGTCATGGCTCTAAACGTGCTGGTGGCAGTCCCCAGAGTGGTTCAGCATGGGAGGGCATTCCCCAGCCATGAGGTGTGAGGAGAAGGAGCTCTGAAACCAGGGTGAAACCCCCTCCCTGAGGTCACTGTCCTCCACACAGGGGCAAAAAATTGTGTCCAGACCCAAGCCAGCAGAAGGGAGATGAGATGTGACCCTGCAGACAGGCTCAGCCTTCAAAATGAGGCACATTTTTCAGACTTTCCTTTAAAACCTGACTTATACAAGCAAATCTTTGCTTCCCTGTTGCTTCATGGATTTCTCTGCAGACAGAGCCTGCACCTAAGCTCTGACCAGCCCTGACCAGCAAATTAACCCTTTAAAACAGGCACTGTGGGCATTTTGGGAGGGGATTTCACAGCAGGGATTAGCCCTTCTGTGAGTCTAAAATGCTCCACTATTGGCCAGAAAATGAAATTAATAAAAAAAACCTGCCTTAAGCTGTGTCAGGGCTGGGCACAGGCAGAGTTTGGTGGGCTGAGAACAGGCAGAGTTTGGTGGCTCTGCTGAGCACAGGCAGAGTTTGGTGGGCTGAGCACAGGAAGAGTTTGGTGGGCTGAGAACAAGCAGAGTTTGGTGGGCTGAGCACAGGAAGAGTTTGGTGGGCTGAGAACAAGCAGAGTTTGGTGGGCTGAGAACAGGCAGAGTTTGGTGGTTCTGCTGAGTACAGGCAGAGTTTGGTGGCTCTGCTGAGAACAGGCAGAGTTTGGTGGGCTGAGAACAGGCAGAGTTTGGTGGTTCTGCTGAGCACAGGCAGAGTTTGGTGGCTCTGCCGAGCTCCCTGAGGGCAGGGGACAGGGGTGAGGTGCCAGGGGGTGCCTGTGGTGCTGGCACCACGTCCAGCATTCGTTAGCTGTGCCCAGGCTGAGCCCTGAGCGGGCAGTTAATGTGTAACACAGCCAGTTCTCTGGAAAACAGGTGTTTCCTCAAGTAGGAAAAAGGGGGTTTCATCCAGATGATGCCAACAAAACCTCGCAAGGTTCCTTTGTTTGGTTTTTCTTTTGTGGGTTTCTTTGTTGGGTTTTGGTTTTTTTTGGTTGGTTTTTTGTTTTGTTTTTTTTTGCCTTGATATAAAAAGGGACAGCGGGCAGAGACTTGCTCCTCGATGTGGTCAGAGCCATGAAAGGCTTTATGGTTTGTTTGTTTATTTTATTGGGTTTTTTTTCCTAATGGATTAACTATCTAATCTCTAATAAGCACCTCAGAGCTAGCTGTCAATATTTGATCTGCACATATTTTATTTTTGTTAGAAGATGATAAGTCAAGCCCTAACCGTTCTGGGTGATCTTTCAGTGGGAGGATTCTGTCCTGAGCCTCGTCTGGCTTGACACAGATGAGTCACTGCAAAAATTCTCAGCCATTAATGTGAACAACTTGCTTTATTCAATCAAATAAATAAATAAATTCTCTGTAATAATATAGACGAGGAGCTACTAACTCCACCGTGTTCAATCTATAATTTTCTTATATTAAAGAGTTTTAAAGTTTTGATTTTCTGCTAAATCCAAGAAATTCTCATCTCCAGATCACAATTCCTGGTGTTTCTGTAGCCTCATTGCCACAAGCTGAGGCTTTAATTTCACACACTGCTGCACATTGAAAACAAAAAGTAAATAAATCTAGCCTGAGAATTGTCAGTGCTGGCAAACTTTTGGGCCATAAACTTTGGCTACACCTGTCAGGGGAGAGATTTTCATTTGTCCTTGTCAAGGATCACTCGGAATAAACACGTCCTGCTGTCACTGGTGGCTTTGCCTAATGCAGGGTGAAAGTGAGGAGCCTGGCATGCCTGAGCTGGGGGCAGAGACTGAATTTCACTGTCCTGAGAACCTGAAAGGATAATTACATGGGAATTAGGAAATCAGGGAATGTGATCACCTTGAATGGCCCTGTTGGGAGCATTCACAGCACTGGAATCTAGTGTCAAATAATGGCTTGTAGTTAAATTATCATTATCTGATCTTGTTTGGTTTTACATTTTGTTAGTCTTGGCTGATTTTGGCTTGCACAGTGTTCTGCTAAACTAAAATTCTGAGTTTCTCTGTTGCCTCCAGGTTATTCTGTCACTGGGTTTCCCTCTGGATCTGGAAATGAAGGATTTTGAAGGTAAAAACTTTTTCACACGTGGTGTGAAAACATGTATTGGATATTTCATTGCCTGATGCTTGTTGTGTTCTGGGAGTTTTCTGGGAGGCCAGAGCAGGCTCAGAAAATGCCTGGGGGAGAGAGAACTGTGTCTGTGCACTCAAATGCCACGAAATTCAAACGTGCTGATGGCTCAGGGGGGGTTCAATTGGAACTAAAAAATGCTGGAATGCCCCAAAAAGTGTCCAGAGAGCCAGAGAAGAAACCTGTGAAGGGCTTGTGCCTCAACAACACCTGCACAGGTTGAATGAATGATTGAATGAATGATTGGTTAAATTATTGAATAAATGATGGAACGAATGATTGAATTAATGATTGAATGAATGATTGGATAAATTATTGGATAAATTATTGAATGAATGACTGAATAAATGATTGAATAAATGATTGAACGAATGATTGGATGAATGATGGAATGAATGATGGAATGAATGATGGAACAAATGGTGGAATGAGTGATGGAATGAATGATTGGATGGATGACTGAAGGAATGCTGTCTGTGCCAGCATTCCTCTCTCCTCAGTATTTTCCTGGCACTGTCCTCACCTCCATGCCACGTTTCTTTTCCAGGCCATACCCCTCTCCACTGTGCTGTCCTGGCCCACAACACCCTGCTGAGGGACCAGAGCAGGCAGGCGGTGTCAGAGGAGCAGCACAGGGAGCTCCAGCAGCAGAGCAGGGAGCTGGAATCCTGCATCCATCTCCTGGTGCAGACTGGAGCCTCCATCTACAGCCGGGTGAGGAGAGGCTCGGTTATCCCGGGGTTGGTCTGGGAATTCTCCCCCATCTGCTGCTGAAAACACAGGATTGGAGAAGGAATGAGCCAAGCCTGTTCTCCCTCCAAGGGACTGCTGGCAGGGTTAGGTGCTTGTTATATGATTATTACTACTATTATAATGTTATATTATAATTAAAAAATAGTTAACTTTTAATTGTAATAACATAAATTATAACACCTGTGTTATCTCACCCTCCTCATAAGACTAAAAATAAATTAAAAATTTTAAAACACCTTTTAATTATCCCATCTCTAAGTCAATAAAAATATTATCCAACAATGCGGCCTTTTGGAGATCCTGAAGCAGACACTGGGCACTCAGAGGGTCACTGGAGGGAGGGAATGCTCCCCATCAGCTGCAGAGCTGGCCTGGGTTTCCTCTGATGGCTTTATGGCATCTCTCCAGCTTGTCCTGCAGAACACTTCTTATTTGGCTTGGGTTTTTTATACACTTTTTCTCTGTTTTGAAATAGGATGTGAAAAGCAACAAGACAGTTCTTCATTACACAGTCCAGGATGGGAACGTCTCCCTGCTCAGGTACTTCCTGCAGCTGAATGCTTTCATGTCCAAGGATTTTGTCAACAGCAAGGTAATTTTTGTCAACAACAGGTTTGTTTTTGTTTTTTTTTTTTACAGAGGGAAAGGGCAAAAGTTGCTAATCTGAACTTCTGTTCAACCCCAAACTGATTTTCCAGTAAACAGACAACTCACAGGAAAACAGCACCTGGCTTAAACTCTGTCATGAAAAGCAGGGCCCTGTCCTGCAGGAGAGGAGAGAAGGAGTAGGAGATAAGCAGGGAGGAGGAAGAACAGGAGAAGTGGTTGCTTGAGGAGGAACATGAACTTTAGATTAGGCTGAGGATTGAGCAAACAGCCCTGCAGTGATGCAAGCTTTGACAGCAGCACGACACTGAGAGGAGGCACTTCAGGGCAGCCAGCTATCGATTCATCTCTGCTGGCAGATGTGGCACCACAGCAAGGACAAAGTCCCTGTTTCTGTTAAGGGACATGGGGATTCTTTCTGCCTTAACCATTATTTGCAGATTTTCTGGCACAGCCACACCTAAGTTGGGCAAAGCAAACTGGAAACCACAGCTCACCTCGGAGAGATCCCCAGCACTGCTCATCTCCACAGGCAGCAGCTCCACCCTCCTCCCAAATTAAAATCCTGACATTCCTGGGAGCCTCAGCTGAGCCCTCACTGCCCAGCAGGCAGAGCTTTGGGACAAGCTGTCCCTCTCAGCAGGGCTCAGGGGTGATTCTGGTGCTCCCCCTCTGTTCTCCTCCTTTGAGGAAGGGGACAAGGCTGGGGGTCCCTGTTTCATTTCAGCACCTGCAGTCTCAGCCTTGCTCCCCAGAGTTTGTGTCCCTCAGGAGGGAGCTGAATTTCTCTGTCAATCCATTGCTCCCCGAGGCAGACAAAGGGCAGCTGCACTTTTTTTACCCCTCCAGATTTCTGTTGGACTGGAGAAAACCCATTTTGGGTTGTGTTTGTGGGTAATGGCGCTGAGCTGGTGTTTTTCTGTCCAGTGAAGGGCTTTTCTGCATTCCATCTGTATCTTTAAAGACCCTTCAGGCAGGTGAGAACCTGTCCACGGGAGTCTCTGTTGTCTCTTGATCACAATCCTGAGAGAGCTTCCTCCTGTGATAGGATCACTCAGAGTCTTCAGTCTTGTTGCTCAGCTGTCTGGGGCAGGGAAATATCCTGGATTTTTTAGCTCTTCAAAGCATGAAAAAGCCAAGGAAACAGCCGTGTTTAGGTTTCCCTGGCTCACCCACTGCTTGTGCTTGTCTCACTCCAAATCTCTCTCCATGGCATTTTCATAACGAGTAAAATATTGAAGCCTTGGAGGTGTTTTTCATCTGGAGGATTCCTGGAGCCCACTTTGTCTCAAATGAGACCTATTAAAGTCAGCCTGAGGCTCCAAGGTCAGGCCTTGTCAGATTGCCTCATTATCTTAGCCCATGCCTGGATCTGGAAGCTCTCAAGTGCAGATCTTTCAATTTTAACAAGAAATCCTGTAAAGAGCTTGAACCATCCCTTGACTTTCTGGGATAATAAACTTGACAAGGATCTGCTTGTTCAGGGCTTGTAAAACATGCCTTGTCTGAGAAAAACTGTTAATTTTTTGCAATTTTATTTTCTGCTTCAGTCCTCCCTGATGTCTGAGTGGTTAACAGGAGCTGAAAATCACATTTTTCATTTCACATTTGAACAACTGCAATATCAACACAGGCTGCAATTTGTGCCCAACCATTCCAATGCCATGACAAACCCATGATTGTCTCTGAGAGAAAAAAAACCAAACAGCTGCCTCAATGAGACTCTTGCAGACTAAAAATACCTCACCTTGTGCTTTTGTTTATCAGCTTTTTCTCATTTACAACCGTTACCAGTCATACCTGACCAGACAGGGCACAGATTTCTACACGGTCTGGTGGCACCAGAGCTTCTGCAGCCTCCTCCATCCATGCCTGGCTTCACAGCCAGCTCTGTCCCTCCTGTCAGTCCTGCCACTGGAGCCAAGCCGTGCCTGAGCTTGGGAATTGGAACCTTCCTGGCCCTTGGAAGTGTTGGAAAAGGGGGGATGTGTGGAGCACAAATGGGGCTGGTGGTGTGGAGCTTTGTGTGGTGGGCAGCAGTGTGATGTGTTGGGTGTCTGTAATCCAATTTAATGCTTCCCAGTGAAATATTTCCATGCCTGTTACAGCTTTCTCTTTTTCCACTAACTCCCCAGGTCTCTGCTTCCATGAGGGTATGATTTAAGGGGTGATTTCAGAGCAGTTTTAGGGGGTGATTTCAGAGCAATCATACACAAGGCTGTGATTTAGGGGGTGATTTCAGAGCAATCATACACAAGGTGTGATTTAGGGGGTGATTTCAGAGCAATCATACACAAGGCTGTATTTAGGGGGTGATTTCAGAGCAGTTTAAAGGAGCAAAATTTCAGAGCAATCACACATGAGGCTGTGATTTTGGTGGGATTTCAGAGCAGCTTTAAGGGGGAATTTCAGAACAACCAGGGTATGATTTAGGGGGATTTCAGCAGCCAGGAAATGTTCCTGCTTCAAGGCTATTTATCACTTACACCCAAAGCATCAAAGCCCCACAATTTGTGGTGCTCTAGCAAAGAAAAAAAATCTGAATCCACAAACCTCCTGCTGGGAGAAACAGAGCAGAGATCCTCCCTCAGCTCCTGATGACAAATCCCATGAGGATTCTTCTCTCGTTTTGCATCTCCATTTCTAGGATGATTCTGGGGAGATGGCACAGCGCACCAGGGAGTTTATCTGGGTTTTTTACTCCTTTTTTTTCCCTTCCCTCTGCTTTAGGCCCATGGCAACACAGCCCTGCACATGGCAGCTGCTCTGCCTGGGGACAAGAACCAGAAGGAAATCATCCAGCTGCTCCTGGAGCACGGGGCAGACCCCAGCATCAGGAATTTGGACAATGACCAGCCAATCCACATGGCCCCTCCTGGAAAAGCTGGGGAGCAGGTATGGGATCCACACTGCTGCTCTCCCCTAACACACCTGCGTGCTCCAGGGCTGGGCTTTGTGCTTGTCAGTATAAAAATATTCCTGATGTATTTGGGTGTTTATTTAGTCGCACATGTGCATGGAAATAATCGTGTGTGTGAGTGGTTTGGGTGGCTCAGATGGTGCTTCCTGAAATTCCACATTTTTTGGCAGGTCAGGAATTTGCTGAAGAAAGGGAAAGTCACACCTGCATTCAACTCCTGCCACAGAAATGCCAGATCCTGATTTATCTGCAGTTTATGGAACGGTTTCAACTCCAGCTTCTGCCTCCTATAAAAACTGTGAGGGTGGCTCTGCAGCACATCCCAGCTCCTCCAGGCTTCAACCAGGCTGGGGTGACAGTGTTTCTCAACCTGTGGCCATGAGCAGCGTGCCAGACAGCAGAAGACGAGCTTTCAAATGGTTGAAAACTCAATTTTGGTAACAGAAAATGTGAATAAACCTCCAGCAAGGAGGTGAGCAAAGCAAGGAGCTGCTACATAAATAAGTAAATATTCCAAATAAGTTCAAAGCACAGCCAAGCTTTGAAACCTCTGGGGCTGACAGAGCACAGGGTGACAGTTTGGTTATAAAAGGTTGAGAAATGCTGCTCTGAGACACCCCCAGACTGTGCCTCTGGCTGGGCCTGTACCCAGGGACTGCTGGAAATGCTGCAGCCTCTGTGATGTGCAGCTCCCACTGACCCTGCTGCCCTGGGAATGCAGGATCCTGAGGGGCAAAGCCTGGATGGAGAACCTGAGTCAGCCCTGGCTGGATTTCACCCGAGGGGATGGACATCCAAAGCCAAGGGCCCCAAGGGGGTTCCTGCAAGCTGGAACTCCCATTCTCAGCACTCTGGGAGGGCCCTGGAGCAGCTCCTCAGGGCCAGCCCCAGGACAGAAACAGCTGCTGTGAGAACAAGGACATGGGGCAGCTCTGTGTGGCCCTGAGGGGAGACTTCCAATCCCATCCCATCCCATCCCATCCCATCCCATTCAATTCCATCCCATCCCATTCAATCCCATCCCATCCCATCCAATCCAATCCAATCCCATCCAATCCAATCCAATCCAATCCAATCCAATCCAATCCCATCCCATCCCATCCCACCCAATCCCATCCCATCCCAGTCTCCAGCTCTGGTGGCACAGAACAGCTCTGGAAGCCCCTCAGGTGGGAGATCACCTCACCTCACCTGTGTGGGAGACAGAGAATCTCTTTGGGTCTCCAAGAGCTTTTTGGGCAGCAAACCCGTGTGGGTGTGTGCAAGGAGTGCTCTCCTGCTCCCTTTCCCACCTGAGAGGGTTTAGCAGGTTCTTTTTAGCGTTTCTGTGAAATGATTTGTGGATTGCTGTGCAATCAGTGGCTCTGCAAGGCCGTGTTTTGGCAGGGGCTGGCCCGTCCTCGGGCTCACTCTGAGCTGTATTTTGTATTTTGCTGGTTCCTCGGTGGGCACGGGTGCTGTTCTCCAGCAGGATGAGCAGAGAGATGAGGAGCAGAGCTCTTAAATCTCTGCAGCCACTTCCTTGAGCACCCACTGGCTGCTGCCTCAGTGGGATTTCCTGAGGCACTCACAGGCCTGGAGTGTTTAAACAACTGACAGGAACAAAAGCTCTTAAGAAATGCAGAGATCTCGATTTTCCAGCCCTGCTCTCTGCTGTTGGGCCATTGCCTCTCACCACACGTACCTACAATCCTGCTGACAGAGAAGCAGACGTGTATTTGCATGTGTTTGCATAAATTTTCATGTATCTGAGCACAGGCCAGCAAAAGCCTGTGCTGTCTCACTTGGAAGGATGTTACAATGAGCCCTGAACGGAGTGAGAACGCTATCAGGGAGTTAGTACCGTGTGTCAAGGCAAAATGATGGATAAAATATCAATTTCTGGAACCTGTGGCAGCAGAACTGTCAAACTGTGAGCAGCACGTAAAATGTAAAAAGCTTTTTGCCACCTAGAAATGTCTGTGAGGTGACTGAAGTCCTTTGGCAGTTAAAAAATACAGGAGCTTTCTTTCCTCGAGTGGCTTTTCTCTTTATTATGTCATCTCTTGGGTGTTTCATACAAAGCAGTGTCAATGGGAGTCTGGAATCATCACCATCTCCAGAATATCAGTGAAAATATCCTTTTAGGGGAGGAATTAAAGCATCCCCCTGGCAGCTGGTGCTGCTGGGAGCTGATGAGGAGGTTTGCAGTGGGAAGAGCCCATGGCAGCCCCAGGATTGCTCCTCTCTGTGCTCAGCTTCCCAAAGCTCAGCCTGCACAGGCCTGCTCTGGAAGCAGCCACAATCCACAAGCTGCTCCTGTTGGCTTTGGACTGGAGCCACCAGACTGTTGGAAGCTGCTGCTTCCCCCTGTCTGTAAAACAATTTTCCCTTTCCCAACTCCTGGCCTGGCTGTGAAGAAAATCACTTTTAAATCTCAAACCTGTCCCGAGTGTCTTCTCTACCGGGGTGAATTTCACTGATTTAAGCAGTTCACAGCTCACCCCTCAATTTTTTGTTGCTCTTTCAGGGGAAATGTAAAGCTCAGCCTTGCTGAGCCTTCTCAAAGCTCAGCCTTGCTGGCAGTGTGTGATATCCCTTTATTTGCACAGTTTATCTCTTCCTACCTGTGGCTTTGGATAAGTTGTTAATAACAAAGGCTCGTTATCACCAAACAAACGTTCTGAAGTGGCACCACAGAAAAGTTGTCAGTCGGTTGGCAAGTGAATCTTTTAGATCAAATTCTCGGGTCGAGAAGCTGAAAATAAGAACCTTTTCTTTTCTCTGTAAGTGTGGGTGACTTCTGGAGTTATTCATGGCTTTGTAAGCACGAGATGATCCTCGGGTTTGTGTTTATAGAGGCAGCCAGGGCTTCACCTGGCAGGGACTGATGAAATGCCAGCCTTTCAGTAGAGCCAGCTCTGGTTTAGGTATTTCCTTTAACTCCTTTTTACTTTTGGGAGGGATAAAGGAGGGAAATAATACATTTCTCACAGCCAGAAAACACACAATCAACCTTTGAATGGCTCGTCTGTTGTGTTTTTTCCCTTTCTGTGTCAACAAGGCCTTGTGTCAACAGCCAGCAAGCTTCTACTTGTCCTGAGTGTGTCCCTGGGGCTGTTGACAGCGAGGTGGGGACAGCATCTCAAACCTGTTTGCAGTCTGGCACTGGGGGGATTGCAAAACCACTGGAGAAGGAGCAGCAGGGAAAGAGGAAGAAGCTGCAAGGGATGGAAAAGGTGCTGCTTGTGTGATGGAAGCTGATAAAACCTGGAGGTTTTGGTGCAGTAGGAACATTTTGCTGGATATATCTTGGTCTCCTCAACTGAGGAGGGGTTTTTTTGCCTGGATCAGGCATCATCCAAGGATAAGGATGGGATTTAGGGTGCTTTTAGTGCTGATGTTGCTACGTGGCTGTGCCCAGCAGTGGGATGAGGGATGGGCCCAGCCACAGCCCTTGCACAGAGCAGTCCTGGGGAGGATCCACACCACGAGAGATTGATAAGTGTGCAATCTGCCAATAACCTGTCAGAATTACACATCCACCTCAGCTGCAGGTCAGAGATATCTTATCAGGCTCCGACACTTGCCCTCCTTGCTGTGCACACTTAGGCTGCCCCTGGGAGATGTTACTGAGTGTTCTTAAACCCTTATTTATCATTTCATGGTGCCCTTTCACTCCCTGAGAGCATCTCCCTGGCTCTGCTAAGCTCAGGCCAACCTTGCCAAGCCATGGGGAGGATGTGGGCACCCCGTTTCCTTTAAAAGCCTCCAATTTCTTGCCTCAGCCTTATTTTCTGGCTTTTTCTTGTTGCTGATAAGGGGTTCTGATGTGTGGCTCAAGGTGTGCCCGCTACTGAGGCAGCAGGCAGGAGTAGCTGGCACTGGGTGAGCTCTGGGGCAGAATTTCAGCCCTTCAGGGCCCCAAAATCACTCAGGGGCTGAAGCAGCTGCCAGCACCACTGAAATGACACTTGGTGGGGTGTCCCTGCACAGGGTGATCACACCTTTAACTGCTGCAAAGTTACAGCTCTTTATAATTTATATAATAATAATAATAATAGATATATTTTGCTGTGACCTCATGCATTTATCACTTGAGCCAATGCTGAGATTAATCAGGGGAGAAGGGGAGATATTATTAGAATATTTTTAAAGCATGTTTTGGTAAAAAAACCCTCATAACTTACATAAGGTAAAGGAACTGGAAAGGTTTTCAGTTCAGTGTGCAAGTGTCTGGATGAGGTGAGCAAACTGCTGGATAGAATTCCTATTTCTCTTCACAGGTGTAGTTATTTTCTCTTTTTTGTGGAATTTAATATGGAGAGATGCTTCTTTCTTTTTCCCAGTCTGGGTGCTCAGCTGAGAAATTGAGTTTGCCTCACCAAGAGGAGGCAAGACAAACCTTAGAAAGGTTTGAGTTTATGCAAGAAGCAGGAAATCCTCAGGTATTACAACTTTCCTATTATCTACCTTTTAAAAAATTAAATAATTTAGCTTCTGTTAGCTGATTATGCTGAAAATCTTTTATCAACAGCCCAAACTTGATCAAGGGCTGCCAAACTACATCAGCCTCTCACTGAGACTGCCTCCACAGGGAAGCTGGTGCTGAGCAGCAGCCAGAGAAGTTTGGCTCTGGATTTTACCTCTGAGGAGCCATGGGCTAAACCCTGCTGGGGCAAACAGCTTTCATTTTCTGCCAGAACCACTGGGAAATGTCACCAGGGCAGCCTGAGCTGCTGCAGATCCAGCTCAGAGCTGGGTGATGCACAGCGTTCTCTGGGAAAAGCTGGGTGCTGGATTAAATATAGACCTTTTATCTGCTGGAAGAGGTGAATGAGAGCTTTCATGTCACTGAATAGGCTGCTCAAAATCTCATCCTCACCCCTGTGAGAGCAGGGTCAGCAGCAGAAGAGAAAAGCACTGACCTTTAGCACGTGAAAAATGATCAGGCTTCAGCATTTGCACCAAATGATTTATTTGTATCAAAAAGAGCTGGTTTAATGACAAGTGTTTGATAAGGCAGCTTCAGATTTATTTTAAAAAACAGCAACAATGAAAAAATAAACAGGGAAAAAACCCCACCAAACAACCACACCACCAACAAAACACCCCTGACCGTAGATCAATGTAGTGACAGCATCTTGTAAAAAATGTGTAAGTAGTGAAGAATAAACTGGACTGTGTTAGGCAGCACAACTTTGCATAGTTCATGGGCAATTTAATCTGATTTGGATAGAGTGGATGTGTGAAACCGCAGCCCCCATTAGCTGTAGCAAATGTCACAGCTCCTGTCCCTCCTGAAGAAGTCCTCGGGCACGGTCAGGGGTGGCAGGAATTCCACGCAGTCCGTGCTGGGGCAGGGGAAGCACTGCGGGCCCCGGCTGTCCCTGCTCTGCGAGCCACAGGCTGTGCAGCAGCAGGCAGGGCTGGGCAAGGGACACGGGGGGTGGCAGGGCCACTCCTCCATGGGACAGCTGTAGGGTGGGCTGGGGGTCAGCGGGGTGAGGGGAGAGAGCTGAGGGGGAGAGCAGCTGGAGTTCCACGGGCTGGGCAGGTCGGCTGAGCTGGGAGAGCTGGTAGCCTGGAGTTGGAGAGAGAGAGAAAAAAAGAGAAAAAAAGGAGATTTCAGGGGAATGTGGCCAGCAGCCAGAATTCCTGAGCTGTTGCCTTTCTCATCTGGCTGCCCAGGGAGATCCTGGAGGTCCAAACCCAAAGGCAGTTTCTGTTATTAAGGGACAATCTCTGCCCAGGTTGATCCTGGAGGTCTAAACCCAAAGGCAGTTTCTGTTAGTAGGGACAACCCCTAGCAGGAGCTGTGCTGCTATTTGCACAAAATCTACAGGGCCTCTAGAAGGGACATTCCCCATCCTGTAGCCTTTCCCAGTTTATCTGGGGCTCCCCATGGGAAAGCATTCAAAGCTCATGAGCATCCCAGGCTCCTGAAAGCAGCCAGATTCCCTCATTGCTGCTGTTCTACCCCAGGAGGTGACTCCCACTCCCCTTGGGGACAGCTGTGGCTGCTCCCCTGGGTCCCAAAGCTCACCAGGCCCTGGTTGAAGCAGAGCTGGACTGGCTGGAAGGTGTCTGGGGTGTAGTGTGGGGATGGCTGGAAGGCACTGAAGGCTGGCTCAGAGGGTGCATCCGACTGCAGGCAGGAATCTATCAGCTGCTCCAGGTATCCGGGGCTTTCCTCACAGGAGAGGCAGCTGGAAAACTGCCAGGATGGGCAGCAGCTGGGCACAGGAGGGATGGGCTCTGCTTCAAAAGGTTCTAGGAGAGAAAGGAAAGCAGACAGCAGCAAATTAATCAGTGTTTGTCTTCACAAAGGGCAGGATTCAGTGCTCTTCTATGCTCAGTAACCCTGGGCATTTAGACATTAAAACAGGCCTTTCAAGGGCAAGGTGGATTTTGTAGGAAAGCAGAAACCACGAGGGAGATGCTCAAAAGCATGTGGCTAACCCAGGGAATGCAGCCCACTCAGCTATAAAGCTCTTTCACTGCTGGAAACTCTTCAGACCCCAGGCATTTTGGACAGGGATCAGCTGGAAATTCCCTCCGACTCTTGACCCTCTGACCTCCCTTCTGTGCCCTGTTTGCAGCCCCAGAAGGTGCCAGGCAGTGATTTGTTCTTCCCAGCCTGGCAGATGTGCCTTTGCCTCATCTCCAGACCAAAGGCAGCTACATCTGCAGGAAAAATGGGATAACAGGAGGATAATTTGCTTTTTTATCCCCCAAACAGCCAGACAGGAGACAAACTTCTGAGCAGAATAAATGGAGCAATGCAGGACTGATGTGGCATTGTGACCATGTAGTGTTACTGGCCAAAGGGTGAGTTCCTGGAAAGCTCACAGCAGATCTGGCTTTTCAGAATTATTATCTTTACACACCAAACTCAAACATGGTTTAAGCCCTGTCCATGTGAAGGGCACAGGTCTGAAATGCACATTGCAGGGTCAAAGGTGGCAGTGTTTAGCTGGCTGTGGGAGTGAGAAACACCCAAAATACATAAACTGATGGAGACTTTCCAGCCTGAAAAGGCTTTGGCATGTCAGCTTTGGTGTGTCTCACGTTTCTTTATTAACATAAGCAAATGGATTCCCAGCTATCGATGATTTAACAATTTCCTTGTCCATGCAAAGTGTGCACTCACACCTGCCCAGCCTTTCCTCTGTGCTGGGGATAATTGAAGGATCTGTGAGCCCACAGTGCCCCTCCCCTCACCCCTTCCCCCTTTTCCTTGGATATTCACAGGCAGGAGGAGGAAACTCTTGGTGGTGTTGAAAATCTGGTATTTCTCTCACTCCTGTGGATGCTGGCAGGAGAGGGAGGAGAGAACAGAACCCAGCCAGGGGCTCCAGGGCACTCTGACCCTCAGTGGCCCCACAGCCTGGGGAAGGCGACGTTATTCCCTCGGGATGAGCATCCCTTCCCAAGGGGATGCAATTCCCTGCTGTGGGAACCTCAGAAAGGAGAGCCCCGTGCGCTCTCAGCTCCTCATCTGCATCCCCCGGGCTCCCTGCAGGTGCTGATTGGCCGCACCGCGGGTGCTGCCGGCCTCAAAGAAGGGCTGGGAAGGCTCGGGGCTGTGGGAAAAATTGGGAATGGGGCGGGAAGGGCCGTGTGGATGGGCTTTGTACCAACCTGGGTGAGGCGGAGACACAGACTCTGCAAACTGGATGCTGCTGCTGCTGCTGCTGCTGTCCCAAGGAACCTGAGCAAGGAGAAGGGAAGGAGAGGAGCTGTGGCACAGAGCAAGGTGAGTCTGGATTTCAGAGAAAACTCTTTAAATAAACCTTATTTCCCTCCTAACTGTGGCTGGGAAAACCTCCCTGGCATTAGATGAACATTGCACAACACGATTTTTGCTGGTCACAGCACCCACCCCGGGGTGAAGCCCCTGAATCAGCTCCGTGCTGAGGGGCTCTTTTTGCTGCATTCCCGATTCTACAGAACTGCCTCTGAAACTAATGTGTGTTAATTTCCAGGTGCGTCAACCTGGAAATTCCACGGTGAATTCAACCGTGAAGGGAATCCCAAGGAATTCGTAGGGATGGATATTACTGGGAATGAGTAATTAACTAAAGACCACCGCAGGTGTCCCATCAGACTGGATTGATGTCGTTTGAGAAGCAGCTCTGGCAGTGCTCCTTGAAAAGGGACAGCTTCGTTTTTTAAGGAATGCTGGAAACTGAAGCAAGACATCAACCACTTCTAGGAACTTGACCTACTGGAAGGAAGAAATCCACCCCAAAAGCAACAGGATGTTGGCTGCTTGTGGGCCAGGATTTTACTCTGCAAGTACAAATACTGCCGTGGGTTTTCCCCTTAGATTTAATTCATACAGCCCTCCTCTTAATATCCTTTATTCAAGATGCTCTCGAGTGAGCATCTCATTTCCCTGGCAACAACTTCCTGGCACATCCCGTGCATTTAATTCCTTAAACAGTGGCTCTTCTGGGCTCAGGGTGCCTTTTGTCCCTGGTGCAGACGTGACAAGGCAGAGATGGAGTCCCCTGGTTGAGCTTTTCTCAGCACACATCCTGCCAGCCCAAAGCCTCGGGGCTTTTGGGGCGGGCCATACCTTGTGCAGGTCACCGAGGTGACTTCCCTCACCGCCACTTTTCACTTTTTCCTGTGTGGGCACCACAGGGGTTGTGTCAAGTGCTGGTGGGAAGTGAAAACCGGTTCCACGCAGCCCTGGGACACCTGGCTGTGATGAAGAGGCTGCTGCTGTTGGGGCTGCAGGGGAGCAGTGACCCAGCATTTCCAAAACCAGACAATTCTCTTCACCCAGACCTCTCTGCCCATGGATCTCAGGCTGATTTTCGTGCAATCAGCTGCAGCAAAGTGCAGAAGCTGAAATCTGAAAGGCTTCAAGAGCTGCAATGTCATGAACCAGGAAGAAATAATGATTTGCCAAGCTCTTTATGCAAATCCCCTGAGTGGCTGGAGCTGGAGGAATCCTACAAAGGCTGGAAGAGGGAATGAGAGGGAATGTGCACGTGTGTGTGCACACAGAGCTCCAGCCCCTCCTCCAGAAGGGATTGGGCTGCCCAGGTGAGCCTTCCATCCCGGAGAGAGTGACTTTTCTGGAGCAGCAGCTTTGTTTTTTCCATGTATTCCTCAGATTCTCACTCCTTTAGGTCACTGCTGCAGCTACTCTGACTAAATGTTCCTTTCCCCCATCCTCACCAGCATGTTACACTCAGATTTTGGCCCAGAGATAACAATCCTGGCAAAAAAAAAACAAAAAAAAACCAAAAAAACCCCAAAATATTAAAAGAGAAGGTACAAAGCCAACACCACAATACTTTTACTCACTGCTGAACCAGTGGCTGCTTGTCGTGCTCTCCTCTGCTGCAGCAACTCCTTGACTGTGATCTTCACCCTCACACCTTGGTACACCTTGGGCTTTCCTGGAAGAATTTGTGGAAAAACACTTTGCAAGGAGGGAGAATCTCATAGCAAACAGCAAATCCAGCAGGTTTTCAGGTGTGCTCTATGTGGAGAACAGTTTTAGACTTAACATGACTAATTTTTTAGTCTCTGTTTGCAGTCACACTCACAGCCTTCTTTAACACCTGCTAGTCCAGCTTGGGACAAGCAGACACTCATGAAAATCTTGCTGTTGATAATATTTAAAAACCACATGCTTGTTCTTATCTATCTCCTTCTTCCCCTGCCCCCCTTCCAGCTTTCCCAATACCAAGCTCCATCTGGTGCTGCTGTTGGATTCATTTAAATTCCTGACATATTTGCCTCTCTCAGGACCTGAAAATAAATGTGGGAAGCGTTTCATCTGGCAGATGAAGCCCAGGAATAAAACAATGGAAATATGTGGGTGGTTATTCAGAGAGCTCAACAAAACACCAATAAAATGACTGCTTTCTTGCAAAGCCTAGATTATCTCTTTATTCTGCTCATGTACACCCCTATTTATTTCAAACAAGAATTGAGGGTGTGTTTAATCCAGCCAAAACCAGCCAGCAATCACCCGTCACTACCTAATGAGGGATTTTTAGGACAGGAAATGATAAAGAATTTACTTCTTCTGAAAAACCACTTTCACTTGTTGCACTCATGGTAAAACACTCAGCTCCTCTGGCAGTTTCTGTCCTAACTTTCTGCTGGTGTTTTAACTGAAATCACACAATAAAAGGAAACACACCCAGACTGCTCTCTACACTCAAAAAATGCCAGAGCAGGGAGCAGACAGCCCCAAAGGAGGCACCAAAAATAAACTCCCAGCAAGAGAACAGCACTGCCCGAGCTAAACCTGGCCTTCCAGTGCCACCTCTGGGCATGGAACACCTTCTCCAAGGCAGCTGCACAGTGCCAGGAGATCCTGGCACAGAAACAACGCTGGGTTTGCAGGTTCTGCCCACGGGGCTGGGGAATCCTGCACTGCAGGCACTGTCCTCTTGTGCTGTAACCTCTGGCAGCCCTCTCAGTGCCCCCGGGGTGCTCTGGGGGAGGACGAGCTGGGACAGGCACCCGGGGCCCTCCAGAGACGTGACAGGGCTGCCTTCAGGGCACTTTGCTGAGCTGGGCTCAGCTGGGGATTATTCATCTCGTGGTTTGTGTTTTGTTTCTGTTCAACAAGCTGGGGAAAATGAGGGGAGAGAAGGGTGGGATTTAAGGAGAACACCCCGGTTACCAGAGCTCCCTGCAGCCAGGGAGGGCTCTGAGGTAGCAGGGCCAAGGGTAGGATGGTGAGGGTGGGCAGGGAGCAGAATGATGGGGCTGGGGGTAAGGACAGGGTGGGCACAGGGTGGGCAGGGCAGGTGGAGAATCAGGAGCAGGGTGACAGGGACAGGCTGGGGATCAAGGGCAGGGTGATGGATTTGGGACTCAGGGGGCAAGGTGATGGACTGGGGGTCAGGGAGGAGGGTGACCAGGGTGGGTTGCCCACTCAAGGGGCAGAGTGATGATTCTGGGGGTCAGAGAGCAGGGTGATGGGGCTGGGGGTCCAGGGGCACAGTCATGGTGCTGGGCATGGAGGGAAAGGCTGCTGAAGGTGGGCTGGGAGTAGGGTGACAAGGACAGGGGATGGACTCGGGGTCGGGGAGCGGGGTTGGGATTCAGGGGCAGCGTGGCCGGGGCGGAGTATGCGGGGAGGGCACAGAGAGATGCAGGGAGGACACAGATGCAGAGAGGGCACACAGAGATGCAGGGAGGGCACAGAAAGATGCAGGGAGGACACAGATGCAGAGAGGGCACACAGAGATGCGGGGAGGGCACAGAAGTGCAGGGTGGGCACACAGGGATGCAGGGAGGACACAGATGCAGAGAAGGCACCCAGAGGCACGGGGAGGGCACACAGATGTGCGGGGTCCCCTGTGCCCCCCCGGCTGGGAGTGGCAGCACAGCCCCCCGGGCAGAAGCCCCGCTCGGTGCCCGGCGCTGCCCGCGGAGCCCCTTCCCGATCCGGCCGCGCTGGCACCCGGCGGGCAGCAGCCGATCCTTCCGTGCCTCCTCCCTCCCTCCTCCCCGCCCTCCCCGCTCTCTCCTGCCTTGGCAGGCGGCATCGCCTCGCTGGCGAAGTGACCCCGGCGAACCCCGAAACGGCCCCAAAGCGGGGTGTGGGGGCCGGCGGGGGGACGGAGCGGGGCTTACCGGACATGCCGAGCCGGAGCGGGCAGCACCTCGCCAGGTGCCCGGTGCAGCAGCAGAGGTGGCCCCTGCCCCGGCCCCACAAGCTGGCCAAGGGGGCAAGAGGAGTCAGGCTTGAAATTTGGGGGTGAAGGGACCTGCCTGCCTGGTGGTAATGGCAGGTGGATCCCGACAATATTATTGTTTTATCCCTACGGGTATAAGTTTGAGTTTTTCTCTCCTAATGCCAAGTATTTAAAACCTCTAGAAACCAATGATTTGACAATCAATGATTGCGCGATACTTTCAATTTGAATATTCAAAGGCTCCACAAAATGGGCTATCTTTTTGTGAAACCGAGCACATCCCCATCTAGCAGAGGGTCTGGGGGAATAGGATTTGGTGGGGTCACCCTCCCCACCCTTTGCTTTTGGGACATTTGCAGGGTTTTATCCATCTTTCCCTGAATGCAGCAGATGCCTCCAAAGCAGCTCAGTGTTTTCCCCTCAGATGCACAGGCTGGGCTCCAGCCCTCTCATATTTCATTTGCTACCTGCAGTGAGCACTCTGCAAGAGGCCGACTTGCTTTTTGCACATTTTTTCACGTTTTAAGGCCAAATTCTGAGGTTTTGGGGCCAAAATGGCAGTGGGCAGGTGTGGCCTAACAAAGAGGCTGCCCTGGGCACCCAGGTGGTTGAAGTTACCTGAGCCCCACTTCTCCCCACAGCATTCCCTCCCCCTGCCTGGATGCTGGGCTCACACTGGAGTTTATTTGTGCTTTCCCCCAGTTCAGGCTGTTTGCCTGTGCTGCACAAATTGGCCTTTTCCTCACAAGCCTCAGTGCTGCCTGCCCTGGCAGCTGCAGCTGTGGGGTTCAGCATCTGGCTCAGACTTTTGGGATGGCCATCCCTTCCCGGCAAAGTTGGAACTGGGTTTTTAGGCTGCCTTTAAGCTTTTCCCTGAGGACCACAGCCTCAGCCACGGGCAGGGAGTGAGGCAGAGAGCAGGCCAGGCTGTTAATCATCTACCAGCAGCTCAGGCTGGCTGTCGTCACGGCTGAATCTTTTTTTTTTTCTTTTTTTTTCCCTTTAAGTTGAACAAATAACACTTGATTTCTGTGGAGAGTGAGGCCATTCCTGGCTCTGAAATGTGCCCCTGCAGCTCCTGGTAGGCCAAGCCTTGCCTGGGACAGCTTTATAGGGACACAACCCACCAGGAGAGGAGCCCACCTGCTCCAAGCACAAAGGAATGTGCTCTGCAGGGAGGGGAGGGGGTCTCACTGAGGAATTTGGGATCTGAAACCCTTCCCTTACTGGGGCTGCACCCTCCTGTGGGTGGGTGCAGGCTGCAGGGAGCTGGCATGGTGATTGTTTACCCCTGTAAGCAGAGAGCAGAGCCTGCAGGCTGCCCAGCTCCAGCCCTGGGGGAGCTGGATGCCCTCAGGAACCACAAGGCAGCAGAGTTCTGGCTGTTCCTGGGCTTCAGAGCACTTCCAGGCTGAGGAAAGTGTGTGCCTGAGTGGATCAAACCCTTTCCAGACAGCTCAAACCCCTGTTCCTGCTCCTGCCCCAGGGCCTGAGGGCAGCACAGCCACCCTGGCCTGGTTCAGGGCCTGCCCTTCAGCCCTGGCAGGAGGAGCAGCTCAGATGGTCACTGGGGCTCAGCCCAGCTGTGGTGTCAGCTGTGGAGTGGAAAAGGCTCAAGTTGGACTCAGGTTTGGGGGGCAGCAGGGCTGGGTGTGGGCCAGGAGAGCTGCACACACCTGAGGTGAGGGGGAACAGCTCAGGTTTGGGGGAAGGAGAGGCACACACCCTGAGGTGAGGGGGAACAGCTCAGGTTTGGGGGAAGGAGAGGCACACACCCTGAGGTGAGGGGGTACAGCTCTGGCTGGGCAGGGCCACCCCTGGAGGCTCCACAGCTGCCACTCGTGGGAGTGGAAGGTGCTGGGAAAGCTCAAAATGCCCCCGGGTTTGAGGAGAAAAGGCAAGGAGGGATTTAAGCGCCTCATCCCCACACGTGCCCTGGCGCTGGCATGCTCCAGAGCCTCCTGCTGCTGCTGTGGGTGCCAGGCTGGGGGGAGAGCTGGGCCAAAGGGGGTGACCCCTCCGTGGGACAGAGCAGGGTGTGCTGCTCCGGGAGGGTTCCACGGCGCTGTTCGTGTGTGCAGAGCTACCTCTAGTGGCCACAGGGCTGGCTACCGGTGCCATTGGCACTGCCAGCCCACCTGGGTGTCCTGGGGCTGGCTACCGGTGCCATTGGCACTGCCAGCCCACCTGGGTGTCCCTACCGGTGCCATTGGCACTGCCAGCCCACCTGGGTGTCCTGGGGCTGGCTACCGGTGCCATTGGCACTGCCAGCCCACCTGGGTGTCCCCAGGGTTGGCTACCGGTGCCACTGGCACTGCCAGCCCACCTGGATGTCCCCAGGGTTGGCTACTGGTGCCATTGGCACTGCCAGCCCACCTGGGTGCCCAGAGGCTGGCTACTGGTGCCATTGGCACTGCCAGCCCACCTGGGTGCCCAGAGGCTGGCTACCGGTGCCATTGGCACTGCCAGCCCACCTGGGTGTCCTGGGGCTGGCTACCGGTGCCATTGGCAATGCCAGCCCACTTGGGTGCCCCCAGGCTGGCTACTGGTGCCATTGGCAATGCCAGCCCACCTGGGTGCCCACAGGCTGGCTACTGGTGCCATTGGCACTGCCAGCCCACCTGGGTGTCCTGGGGCTGGCTACTGGTGCCATTGGCACTGCCAGCCCACCTGGATGTCCCCAGAGCAGCCCACCAGGTGGGTGTGGATCTGCTGTGGGCTCATTCAGGGTAAAAGAGGTGTCGGGGAGGGGGCGTTTGGTGCCCTGCAGGGGTGGAGAGGCTTCCTTGGGCACAGGTCAGCAGGCAGGGCAGTGCCCACACCCTACACAGCCCCCTAAACATTTAGGCTGGGAAAGCTCTCTGAGGAGGGATCCTTGTTGGTAGGAAAACCCGTAGAGCACAGAGGTTTTTCAGGGTGAGTATTTTACTTGTGGGGCTGGGAGAAATTCCTTTCTCGAGGCACTGGAAGGCAGCACCCTGAGCTAAATGTGGTGTGTCCAGTGATTTTGTTTCTAACAAGAGCACAAAGCATCACGCTTGAAGGAGCAGTTTTAGGAAGGAGCATAAAATTTGCTTTATAATGGTCTGGTTTTCTTTCCTCCAGCTCTTCTCTCTCCTCAGTAAGGTCTCCTGCCTTCATAAGTCCCCCAGAGGGCACTTCCATCCTCTTTGGCCCAGGCAGAGTGCTCGGGAAGGTGTGGTGGCTCCGAGGGTGGCTCAGGGCACAGGTGGCTCATCCTGGAGGGCTCACTGGCCACGGCCATGAACGGGGACAAGCTGTAGGGCGAGGTGGCTGCACAGCTGGGGGAGTAGTGAGCATCTTCAAGGGGGTGCAGAGGGTAGTGCTGGGCTCCAGGGAGGGCTGGGGTCCAACCTGAGCCTCGGAACGGGGCAGCAGCTCCAGATTCAGTCAGGGAGAGGCAGCTGGAGGTGGCAGGGAGCGGCTGCAGAGGCTCTGAGCAGGCACTGTCAGGCTGGCTGAGGCTTTCGGGTGAGGGCTGCTCCCAGGGCTCTCTCTGCAGAGAAACAGGGAGAGAAGGCAAGGAAAACACTTAGGAACAAAAGCCTGTCATGAAGGTAATGGAATATCCATCCCTAGGAATGCCCAAAGGGTTTCTGTGGCTCTGGAGCAGTATTTGGTGTTTGAGCTGTGGAACCTCCATCCTGTCAGCAGTGTTTGGTTTTTGAAAGGAAACCTCCATCCTGGCAGCAGTGTTTGGTTTTTGAAAGGGAACCTCCATCCTGGCAGCAGTGTTTGGTGTTTGAGCTGTGAAAGGGAACCTCCATCCTGGCAGCAGTGTTTGGTGTTTGAGCTGTGAAAGGGAACCTCCATCCTGGCAGCAGTGTTTGGTGATTGAACTGTGAAAGGGAACCTCCATCCTGGCAGCAGTGTTTGGTGTTTGAGCCGTGAAAGGGAACCTCCATCCTGGCTGCAGGGCCTGGAGCAGGGTCCCCCGTAGGACTGACCAGATCCTACAGGATCCAGGAGCTCTGTGGTGGAGCTGTGAGTGGAGCTGGGATAGGGAGCCTGGAGTCACCAAGGGCTGTTTCTAGAAACTCAGGGAGGGAGAATTTCATAAAATCATGGAATCACAGAGTTATCCTGAGTTGGAAAGGACCCACCAGGATCATCAAATCCTGCTCCTGGCCGTGCACAGGCCACCCCAGCAATCCCAGCCTGTGCCTGGGAGCAGTGGCCCATTCAGAGCAGAATGGGATGTCTCCAGGGATGTCTCCAACAGGAACAAGGGACAATTAGATGGAAGCAAAGGGAAAAACCCTCCCCGCAGAGCCCAGCCCCACCTGCCACGGCTGCTCCTGTAACAGCCACACCCTTCCCCCACAAGTCCCCCTGGCTGAACCCCACATTTACAGGGGGTGACCCTCCCTGGGGGACAGAACCATGGAGGCACTCACGAGCAGGAAATGCCCCGTGTCGTTGGGGAAGGATGGCAGGAGAGGGGGCACGGCCGGAGCGCTGAAGAAGGAGCTGGTGGCAGCTGGGACAGGAGGAGCACGGTGATCCCCGAACTGCTCGCTGAGATAGGGCTCCAGGAGGGCTGGGTAGCCCTGGGGGGCAGAGGGGTCACAGGGGAAGGGTTTGGAGCCCAGAGGGGAGGGATAGGCATCGCTGACAAACTGCTTGGTGCTGTGGAAATCCAGCTCGGTCGGGAAGGATCTGCGGACGCCGTAGTAACCAGCCGTGGTGGGTGAGCCTGGGGACAGAAAAAAGAGTGGGAAAGTGTAAAGAAAATTCTAACAGCTGCCACAGAATGATGGACACCCCTGTGGGTGCAAAGCAGAGCTCTTTTCTCTCCAGCATCACCCAGGAACCCACCCTGCCTTGACACAGGTGTGTGAGCCCAGAGGTGCTTTTGGTTCCACCTGGTGACTCCATCTGCAGCAAACCAAAAGTGTTGGGGAAGCTTTAAATAGGAGGGCAGGGAGATGGAGGTCAGCTCAGCCAGGCTGTGCTTCCTCCTTACTCTGCTCCAGGCCCTGGGGAGGAGGTTCCAGCCTCACTCTGCTTTCCCTGCCCGAGAGCCAAGGGATAAAACAGGTCAGCTCCTGGTTTTGTGCTTTCTCTCCAGCTCCAGGGAAAATGGGAAAACACAGGAGGAAAAGGAGGGATTCTGTATGGCTCCTCTGCTAAAGGAGGTGGGAACTGCTTTAATTACTCTCTTTGAGGATTTTATACAAATTATTGCTGTTCTTTTTTTGATTCTTTTAATTACTTTCCTCCTGGGCTCCCTCTGAGGGGTGGCCCCGCTCTGGGGCTTGTTTCACATCCTCTGGAGGAGGACAGAAGGGCTGTGCCAACCCTCCCACCTGCATGGAAGGTGTTTAGCACTGGAGGGAAAACCTCACCTGGCATTTGGCCAAAGGGTGACGGTGCTGTGCTGGTGCTGCCCTGCAAAAGATAAAGAGATGTTTGAAAGAATGACTTTTCAAAGCAAGGCAGCTCTCTGAGTGGAATTCACACACATTATTTGAGCCTGGGTGCTGGAAGGGTTTAACTCCACGATTTCCTCACGGGAATTAACAGATGTAGGCTAAGCAGAGATTGTGAAGGTCTTGTGCAGAGCTGCTAAGAGGAGGAGTATCAAGACAACTGGCTTCTTCCTCCTGTCCCACAGGGTCCCTCAAAGCAGGCAGAATGCTGAGGAGTCTTTGAGTGTTGGCACAAACCAGGCAAGGTGAGATCTGAGCCCTTGAGTGGCCAAAATGGGCAGATTCCAGCCCATGTTCCAGCTCAGCTGTGCTGGGTCTGCTGCCCCAGGGCTCCTTTACCTGCCCCTTCCTGGCAGGCTGGGTAGAGAGTTCCTAAATCCTCTTTGGGTCCTACAGCAATGGTTATGACAATAATAATTATATTATTAATCATCATCCTCTCATCTTGGTCCCCAGGTGAAGGAGAATTACCCCTGGAGTGACCCTGGTGCTCCCAGTGCCTACTTCCTTACAAAGCACCCTGGCCAAGGCATCTGCTCCTCTGGAATCCCACTGAGCTCTGGTTTGGGGGGCTCCAGGCCCCCAGAGCAGGAATAGAGAGCCCCCAGCTGCACTGCTGTCACTCTGCTGTCCCTGGCCATGCTGGTGGCACACTCTGTCCAGTTTGCATAGTGCAAACAGGAGGTTCCTGCCATAGCAGGCAACCAAATTTAGAGGTTAGATTTGAATTAAATTTGCCAGCTCTGAGGACTTCCTTCTACTGCAAGGGAAGGTTTGCAGCTGCTCCCTGCTCCACCATGGAAATGAGCTCTGAGCCTGCACAGGCCACACGGGCTGCAGAGGTGGCAGGAGGTGACAGGAGGTGTCAGGAAGGAGCCCCTGGGCTTGTGGACAGAGGAGTGTCCTTGTCACACAGGCAGGGCTTGCACCTGTCCCCAGCTGAAGCCATCACATGCAAATCCAGGTCACTTTTAGAGGAAAAAGCCAAGCTGGGAGGGTCAGGCAGCACAGATGCTGCCCAGAGGACACAGGCTGCGGGGATGGGAGCTGGGATGCTCTGCCCAGCTCCCTGGCACGGCTGGCAGCCTCCAGCAGGGATCATTTCCAGTCAGCAGAGCATTTACTCTTTGATCCTGTCTGTTCAACAGCTACTGGAACTGCCTGGCTGTGTGTACACACCTGTGGGGGAGAGTCCCAGAGGTGCCAGGAGCTACCAGGGCTTCACCTGCCTGAATTCAGTGCAGGAGCCTCTTCTGCAGCCCATCCTTGGCCTCATCAGAGCAGAGCCCTGCATTTCATTCCCATCCTTGCTCCTTATCAGCCTTAATTGAGACCCATTAGTTAATTTCCTCCCTGCAGTGCTTCCTTTCCCTGCCATGGGAATGGGGAGCCTGGATCTGCTGCAGCTCTGCTCAGCCTCCCTGGGGCCCAGAGCGTGTCCAGCTGTTGATAAGCTGGGCTCAGCCTGCCCTGCCCGTGGCCAGGCACAGATCCTGCCTGGGATTGCTCCAGAGAGCTCTGCTGCTTCACTGCCTCCTAACTCACCTATAAATCTGCCTAAATTTAAGGATCCAGCTCCAAATAATGACCTGGCCCTGCCCTGTGGCAATGTTTTGGCTTCAGGGCATCCCCTCTCTGGGCCCAGTCTGTGGTGGAGCAGCTGAAGGAATAAAAATCCTCCATAAAAGCAAAGCTGAGCCTGGGCAGGGCAGTGCTGGCTTTGAGTCCCTGCTCTGGGAGTGCTGCTGGGCACTCAGCAATGAATCCTCTTTAAACCACAGCACAGCACTGCTTCACCTGTGCAGGCACCCCCTTCCACACCTCAGAGAAGACAGGAATCCTTCCACCCTGCAGAGGACACCTGCAGGTTCACACCAGTGCAAAGGAAAAACCAGAACCTCCCTAAAGCTCAGCCCTGAGCGCTGCAGTTGGTGCAGAGCCCTGATTTTGGGGGGGTTTCCTCACAGCACACCCTGATTTCCATCACTCCGTGTGTGCAGGGCCTGGCTGCCAGGAAATTGTCGAAACCTCATCCCAAAGCTCTGCTCTGCTGAGCCCTGACCTCCCCAGCTCAGCACAGCCTCCTCCAGAAGCCTCACACCAACAACAGCTGGGCTGGTGCATTTCTGGAGCAAAGATCACCCTCAAACACAAGATGCAGCTAAATTACCCTGCATCACCAACAGCCAGAGGGGTGTTCAGTTATCTGCCCCTGGCTTTGATTCTGGGTTGTTTTCTGAGTTATATTCTGCCAGACAAACAGAGCTGCACTTCCAGCTGCCCTTTTCATCATACGTCCGAGCAAATACGGATGTTTGCCCTGCACAATCACTTTTTGTCTCTCGCAGGGAATGAGCAGCAGGGCTGGTTTTTCATCAGGTACACACACACAACTGCTGGGCTGTGCAGCACAAAGCCAAGGGCAATAAAGCAAGGAGGATTTTACACTCCCAGGGCGTTTCCACTGTGGCTGTTGAAGCTGCCGCCTCCACAGAGGGAGCAGGTCAATGGTGATAGCACCAACAGGAGCTGTTTTCTCAGCTGCTTCCTAAGAACTCTTCCTAAATACCTGCCTGCTGGGACTGTGTCCTCCCCAGTGACTCTTCTCCATGGCTCAGGGGGCTTCTGCCTGCCTGCAGCAGCTGGAGCCTGTGGGGATGGATGTGTGGCTGGATTTTGCTGTGTTTGGTGATGCCCAATCCTGTTTTGTTGGTTTTTTGTCCTGACTGTTTTGTTGCAGAGTTAATAGGCCTGAAAGTCACAGCAAGTAAGTCCCTGTGAGGCCTCTTCATAAAAAAAAGCCAGAGATGAATGGTTTTGGGGAAAAAAGCATCAGAACTCCCAATTTCTCCCTCTCTCTCCTTGCAGGACACAGCTCCAGCTCCCCCTCCTCTGCCAGTGTCCCAGCCGGAGGTGAGGAGCTGCTGCCCAGCAAAGGTGAGTGCCAGGAGCAGCCAGGAAAGGGCTCCTCCTGCCACTGGATGCCACCACATCCTGCCACCACAATATTGTGTCCCCTTCTGGGGACAGCCTCGCTTTCTGGCTGGCAATTGAGGAATAAAAACCAATGTAGTGCAGCAGGACTTGGGTTTCCTGTTGCCATAGAAGCACTTTAAGAGGAAATCATCTCTTCCAAGCTGATGCTTGGCCTCTTTCCAGCCCATCACATCCCTGCATCTCCCCTGGCACCCTGAGAGGAGCTGGAAGGAGCTCAGCATTCGGGGAAGAACAGATATTTTCAGGGCACTGACTTGTCCAAGTGTAGCTGGTGGAAAAGGAAGTTGACTCAGGAAGGTGTGAAAGGAAAAAGGAATTTAACATCACTGCCATGCTTGAAAAGTGGGGGGAAAAAAGGGCTTTGAGGCATTTAAGGTTGACAGATATGAAAATCAAGGAACCATCAGTGATGTCTTGGGGCATTATATTAATTATATTAATATTGGCAGTGCCCCAAACTCTCCTTAAAGCAGAGGGTGGGATGACTTTATGGGGTTAAAAAAGGGGGTGGGGGACGGGACGGGACTCACGCTGAAGCGGGAGCCGCTGCTCTGCCGGGATCGCTTCTCAGCCAGGAGATCCTTGACCGTGTGCTTCACTCGCACTCCTTGGTACACCCGTTTGCCAAAATCTGCAGGGACTGAGGGAATGCAGAGTTCAGGGAAAGCACAGAGCAGCAAATTCATCACCTCTGTGCATCGGGTTGGGGGGGAAAATACAAATCTGCAATTCTTAGATTTAGAAATATAGAAATATTTGTAATCTAGACATATATATATATTTCAAGATACAGAAATTATTATATATATAAAATCTGTTCCCACATATAGAGAGAAAATATAGAAAATATATTTTAAATATAAAGATATACATATATTGATACTATTAATATAGAAAATATATTTTAAATATAAAGATATACATATATTGATACTATTAATATTAATAAAATATTATGTTGATATTAATAGAATATTGTGTTAAATATATTAAATATATTTAAATTATGTTAAATATAGTAATTGTAATAAAATATAGAAAATATATAGGAATATAGAAATATTTCCATATAGAAAATATATAGGAATATAGAAATATTTCCATATATAAAATATATAGCAATATAGAAATATTTCAATACAGAAAATCATCCCTTAGGACCTGACAGTGAGAGCAGAGGAAAGCCTCCTGTGTCCTACCCTCTCCATGCAGATCCCTCTCTGCCTGCTGCTTTTGGGCTTTTGTTTTTGCAAAGGGAACCCCCCGTGTCCCCTTTGGCTCAGTTTATTTCACTGATATTTCAGCACAGGGGTCGTGGCTCAGCCTCTGCTGCCTCCCAGCACAGCTGTGATCCAGGGAATGCCCTGGGGATGGATGGATGGATGGATGGATGGATGGATGGATGGATGGATGGATGGATGGATGGATGGAGTGGCTCCTGTGAGCCTCCAAAGGAGAAAGGAGCTGCCTGCCCAGCCTGTTTTGTGTCCACAGCCAGCCCAGGCAGCTGCTGGGGCTCTGGTTTATCCAGATTGTTGGGAAGGGTCCCTGCCGTGGCACCTGCAGGGTCTGGCTCTGGTTTTTAGCCCTGGAGCACAGCACAGCCTAAACCAGCTCTGGGTGGCTTTGCCATGAGGCATCTGCCCTCCCCCTGAGCCTGGAGTGAATTTTGGGATCTGCACGCTGTGCACAGAGGTTGTGGCACAGGTGAGAGCCGAGGGACAATGCAGGGACAGCTCTTTTATCCTGCCTGAACCCAGCTCGCACCTGCGGAGCCAGGGAGGACTTTCCATGTGGGCTTTTCTTGAATTATCCCGGAAAAACCTCCCTGCCTTTGAAGCTAATCCCTTGGAAAACACACAGGCACGCTCTCCTGAGGGAGAGCAAACTGCCAGGGCACAGCTGATGTGTTTGATCTCCAGGATTTCTCATTTGGCTCTTCTGCCCCTCAGGATGTGTCCCTTGGCTCCTTTTCTGGTGGCATTGTGGCCCCAGGTGCACACACACACCAGGCGAGGTGAGAGGGTTTAAACAGCTTGGCCTTGCCCCAGATGTTTTGGTTTTTTTTATTTTTGGGACTATAGCAGCTGCAAATTTCGGCAAGTGGAATTTTATTTTGGTGTTTGAGTACTGACCAGAGAGCTTCAGCCAAGGCCAGGCACAAAGCAAACACAAAGCAAGGGACAGATTCCCAAAAATGAGGTGAAGATGAGAGCACCAAAACAAAAAAAAAGCAACAAAAGTGGCCAGAAATGGATATCAGCTCTCACAGGTGGAGGAATTCCAGCAGGTCTGGTGCTCTGAGGTTTCCTGACACCTTTGCTGTGCCCTGAAGGCATTAGGAAAGCTCCTCCACACCCCTCTGCTGTTCTGGACTGTTGAGGTCGCTTCACTCACATCCTCACTTATTCCCCCACCCAAATTGTTTTAATTCAGCAACACTCAGCCTTCTAACCCTGGGCTGAAGGTGTCACACAACTGAACCTGTTGCTGCCAGTGGATTATCCAGAGACATCTGATGCTGAGCTGTCAAAACTTCAGATAACTCTGCCACTGGCAGAAGATTTTCTTCCCACTGGGGAAGAAAATGCTAATTCAGGCCCGAGTTTCTATCATTTCCAAGCAAATTGAATCCAATTTCACATCACTTTGATCTAACTGCCTTTTGAAAAAAAAAAAAAAATAAAGCATTGCACTGTGAAGGAATATAAATTCAGTCTGGAGAAGGCAGAATATGACTTGATACTATTAAATTCTTGGGACATTTAAGATGTCACATGTCTATTCTAGATAAATTTTTGTGGTTTTTTTTTTTTTTCAAAAGGAGCCCAAGGACAGCACAGTTTGTTCCTTCCCTGATATTGCCATGAAGATGTCTCAGCTTGTGAAGATCTGAGCTGCTGGAACTCACCTGTTTCCATTGTTGGTGCTGCTGACGAGTCCCAGCTCCCAGATCCTGCAGGAATTTGGGGAAGATCTGTCCCTCATCAGCTTCCCAGAGCAGAGTGAAGCCTGTGCTCATAATTCCCTGGGAAAGTTCCAGCTGAGCCTGGCGGAAATGGGTTTTCTAGAATTTAGGGATGTCTCCAGCACCATACCTCGTTTGGGATTTGCTTAAATGCAAATCCCTGGATCTGTGTTTCACTCCACTTTGCATGGTCAGTGTGGGTCCTTCCCCAGGAGCCTCCTTCCTCTCTGAGCTGACTTTTCATGGCTGAAAACCAGAGGGGAAAGGAAAGGAAAGGAAAGGAAAGGAAAGGAAAGGAAAGGAAAGGAAAGGAAAGGAAAGGAAAGGAAAGGAAAGGAAAGGAAAGGAAAGGAAAGGAAAGGAAAGGAAAGGAAAGGAAAGGAAAGGAAAGGGGAAAGGAAAGGGGAAAGGAAAGGGGAAAGGAAAGGGGAAAGGAAAGGGGAAAGGAAAGGGGAAAGGAAAGGGGAAAGGAAAGGGGAAAGGAAAGGGGAAAGGAAAGGGGAAAGGAAAGGGGAAAGGAAAGGGGAGAGGGAGCTCCTGACCCACACTAAAGGTCTGGTGGCCACAACTGCCGTGGCCACTCCTCTGTGGCAGCAAGACCTGGTTGTGCAATATCCTGATGCCTTTGGTGCTACCTAAAACCAGAGGCCAGGCAGAATTAAGGGAATAAAAAGCAGTTTTATTTATTGAAGGGCCTTCAAAGGGAATAAAAAGCAGTTTTATTTATTGAAGGGCTTTCAAGTACATTTAGGGCAGACAAAACCCACCCAAAAATGGACAATGGGTCACGGGTTTCACACTTTTATAAGTTTGATCCATTTGCATATTGGGGGTTAATCTTCCAATTCCAGCTTCAGCCAATGAAGTCATTGACCCCAAGTTTGCTGCCCCAACTCCCTTTTGTTTCCATCTCTCAGGCCTGAGGCAGTGAGGTGTCCTTGACTGCCAGGCCTGCAGAGGAATTGTTGTGTCTGCCCCAAATGGGGAAGCAGCAGCTCCCACTGTGTGTGGAGTTTGGAGTTCCGCACTGAAGAACTGCAGGATACAAATAGAGGAAAAATATAAAAATCCTAAGGCGTCAATCCCAATCAATGAACAAAGCCTTCAAACCAAAAAGAAACATTGATCCTGTTTTATTTAAGGATGCAGGACACATTTTATGGTGCAAAAGGAAAGGATCCATCCCAGTTTATTCAAGGATGGAGGACAAGTTTTATTGTGCAAAAAACAAGGATCCATCCCAGTTTATTTCTCTCTTTTTACAGGGTTTTTAAAGACCATCCCCTGTCCATCCCCCTGTCCATCAGTAACAAGCTGTCACCCTGTATTTATTGCTCACTCAAACCCCCGCTGTGTACATGCAGAAAAAAGTTGTTTGTGAGAGATAATTTCATTTTTCTAGCAGTGTAAAAACAGTTTATACAGGTAGCTAGTGTTTACCACAGCCCTAGAGCCCTTCCTCAGAGAAAATCATGTTGTTTCCTCAATCCCAGAGCTCTTTCTCAGGGAACAAAAGTTATTTTTCCCTGCTGCAGAGTTCTCACAAAGAGCTGTCAGCTTCTCATGGCTTCAGTGGGCCCCAGGCAGGATTCAATTTTCAGACTTTTGGCTGCTGTTTTACAGCAACATTTCCCCACAAATTCAGCCTCTCACGTGGCCTTGCCTTTCTGGGGAAGGGTTTTTTGTTTTTTTTTTTACAGTGTAATTATTTTTTAAGTGTAATTATTCTTTTCTCTTTGGAGGAAATGAAGAAGCACCGAGAGCAGCAGCAGCAGCTGGCCAAGGCTGTGTCTGGGCAAGGCAGGTCTGGAGCAACACCCCAAGCAATTCCCAACGTTTGTAACCTGGAGAACCAGCCAAGTTCTCTGCCTGCTCAGGACTGGGAGGGCTCCACACCAGCAGCACTCCAGCCCCTGTGTGCAGAACCTTCCCCACCGTGTGGATGGATTTTTATACAAAAACATCTCTCATTTTCAGCCCTTCCGTTCTTTTCCTGGTGTGGGGGGTTTGGCTGGCAGGTAACAGAAGGTTCAGGAAGCACCAGGTGGGCCGGGGCAGGTGGAAAGTGGCACAAAAAGGAGCTGGTTTTGCTCTGTCAGCAGCAGGCTGTGTTTGCCAGCTGTCCCCTGGCACCTCCTGGGCTGGAAGTTGCTGTGAGGACATTCAGGTTAAATCCCCATCCCGTGGCTGCTCCGTGCAGGTGTTTTCTGTGCTGCCTGCAAAGCAATTCCACTGAAAACGGGGAGAGGACAAAAGCTCAGCCAGGCTTCTTTGAGATGAAAAACCTCTTACCTGCTGTTTCCTTTGCAAAAATCACCACACCCACATTTTCTGGGTAGTTTGGTGGAGCTGGGCACGTGTTTTCCATTCACACAGGGCAGAGCTGGGGCTGTGGTGGGATTTGCAGAAGCTCTTGTGGTTGGCACGACACGCTCTGGGCACGTTCTGTAGAGCACCTTTCAAAAAGGGCTTTAAACCCTTTCAACCCCTTTTAAAAAGGGGTTTGAACCCTTAAAAACCCTTCTAAAAAGGGGTTTAAACCCTTTTAAAAAGGCATTTACCTGTGCCAAAGCAAACTTAGGGAATTGTGCCTGTGCTTTGTGTAGCAAACCCCTGGAGCAGCAGCTGGGGCAGTCAATGTGTGTTTAATTCCATCTGATGAAGGAGAAGAGAGAATTTGTGGCATTATCTCACAACAAAGAGCTGCAGAACTGATGT